TAGCCACAATTTTTTCAAATCTAAAATTGTTAAATTTTTATTTATTTAAAAGTTAATCATAAATGTATCAATTATTCTAGGTTTGAAGATAATTTTTATTTGTATCGTCGGATATGTTTTCTAAAGTACATAAGTATGATAATTTAACAGAAATACGAGGTTTTCGGTTAATTCTAAACCCGACAATCCAAGGAATCCACTAACTAATAATCTCTGTTTATATGTTAATTTTACTTAAAAATACATCGATTGATGGGATAAGGCTGACAGATATCTTATTTTAGTCTTTAAAAAATTTTGTTGAATTTTTTACAAATAAATTACCTAATATTAAAATATTCAACACTTTTGAGTTTATAAAAATTAAAAAATTATTTAGTTCGTTTATTTACCTATTCATTAAACAAATTTTTTCTTCGGAAATAAAGGCATTTTCAAAAATTATTTGCCTTAACCATTTTGTCTTTTTCTTTATAATTTCAACCAATTCTTTATTTTCTAACAGATTTTGTTCTCCTAACTTTTCAATTCTTGTAAATCCTCTAAATATAATTTCGGCAATTATCCTCATTTCTGCTCTAATAGAGTTTTTCCTAATTGATTCCCTAATAGAAATTGGGGAATTGTAAATGCTTTGAGCATAAAGTTGGTACAAATAAAGCTTTGCAGAAGATTGCATTTTATCTAAAATTTAAAAAAATCTTTTAATTATTAGTTGCTAGTTTTGTTTAAATTAATTTCTATTTGGTATTTTTCCATTATATACCTCAAATTCTTGTTAGCAATGATACAGTTGGCCGTAATTCTGTTTAAAATCATCGACAGGCTCTTTAGAATTAGCTGCCATTTGTATTATAATCGAATTTTTTACCCCAAAAATCGGCTTGCCCTTCATGGTTTTCAATTTTCGGGGACCTATTTCACGCTTCACATGTTCGACTTAGATGGACGAGACGAATCGAAGGATATATAAATAGAAAGGTTTTAAAATACAGCCAAAGTTTCGTACGCATATAACGGAAAGTACATATGTATAGGATAATTTAATACTAATTACCTAATTTAAGAACATAAGGATAATAAACTTCTAAAGTCAAAAGTCCTTCTTCTTTAATTAATAAAACAAGTTTATCTTTATATTCAATATCAGCTCCACAAAAGAATTGTCTCGCTTCTTCAAAATTATTTATTAGCCAAGTAATACAGAAAATATGATTTTCTTCTGTTTTTGTTATTGACAATAATTTTGTTGAGATCATTTTTGCCGATTCCTCATTATCACAATTAATTAAATTTTTGTCTGTAATTTCTATGTTGATATGTTCCTTCTAAATTTATATATATTTAAATTAATTCGACAAAAATATCCGGTATCAAAACTAATGATCCATTCCTAAAGGGGTGAAAGGAAAACGAGGAAGACTATGTCTGTTCGGTGTTTTAACCTTACACACTTAAAGGAGGCCGTTGATGGACTTCGATTGTTAGTTGAAGGGTGAATGATAATGGAACTTTTTTGGAAAAACAGAAAAAAATTGTCTCAAAATTATTTTGTTATGCCAAATAAAAGAATTAATCTCTCTATGTATGAGAGGAATTAATTCTTTCTCATTTTTTGATATTTGGAACAATTCTAGAAGGAATTAATTTTTTATTTATTTGCCATTTTATTTTTATAATTCTACTTATGTATTTACCAACCAATTTATTTAAAGAATCTAATTGTTCATTCCAATATTTATTATTATTCTCAATTAAATTTATTGAAAATAAATAAATTCTACATAATTTTTTATTTCCCCCTTCATCTATATTTTCTTCCCATTCTTTTAACCTCTCTTGAAAATTTTTGCTTCTTTTATTTAAATAAAATGCTTGCACTGTTTTGTTAATTAATATTATTAAACTAAACATTAATGAAGTAAATTTTAATATTTTTAAATTTCTTAATGATGTTGGATCTGTGTCAGGGCCTTTTAATAGAAATTCCTTGTAAGTTGAAAGTACATATAGATAATCTGTTAGAAATAAATATTAAATTATTTTCTTCTAATTTAATTAATTAAAAAAATAGAGGATAGCCACTTAAAAAATTTTTTTATCTTATTTTCGTCATTTATTAATTTATTTTTAATTTTTGTTCATTTTTATTAAAATTTTGTCGCATCGAAAAATGCCCAAATTATATTTTTAATAAATTCTGACACAGACATTATTTTTATATAATTTTTCCCATTATTTGTGAATAAAACCTTGTTCATCATTGTCAAGCTTTTCATTATTATTATCATTTGGATTATTTGGACAATTATAAGTAATTCGATTATATTCATTAATTTCCTTAAATTTAATAGCCTTTAATTTTAAAATTATTTTATTAGTTCTATAAGTAGAATGGAGGAAATAATTTATCTTAAAATTTAAATTGAGTGGCCAGCAATTTTATTTCTCAATTACTTTTCAAAAGGGCATTCATTCTATTGAGGTTGGCTATTCGATTAAAGATTCTAGGGCAATTCTATATAAATTTTTAATTAAAATTTTATTTTATTTTAAATAATATAATAACCTCATTTTTTTCTTTAATTAAATTTTTATTTTCCTTTTCATTTGTTTGCTTAATTAAATATTCAAAATTAGATTTTTCTTCACCTTTTAATTCTAAAATGTTTAAAAATTATTACTAAATTATTATTTTTATTTTAATTAAAGAATTTCTACAATCCCCTCCCAATTATATTCCCTTTTCTAAATTAATTAATTATTTACCTTCCATTTCTGCTTTAAAATCGGGCCTTTCTTCCAATAATTCCAAAATCATTTCTGAATGTAATTCATTTTGCATAGCTAATATTCCTTTCTTTAATGATTGTTTTACAAAACTTTTCTGTTTTAAAATTTCCAATTCTTCTTTTAAATAATTTTGAATTGAAATTTCTTTTAAAGAAAAATCTTTGAGGGAAAATAACATATTTTTACATAAAATAACTCTTGACATTATAAAATCCATAGATATATACTTTTCGTTTAATCCATCAATTATAAGTAAAATAATTTGTTTAATATTTTCCCATTCATTAAATATTTTTGTTTTTTCAAATTTTTTATTTAAATAATTAATGAAAACTAACAAATCGCCAGTAAATCCATTACAAGTTAATTTATTAATACCCTCTAAACTAGCTTTCATAATATCATTTTTAAATCCAATTTTATAAGAATTAACAAGTAAATCTTTTAATTCGCTTTCTGTCAATTCTGTGAAAAAATATTTAAAATAAGTATTTAATTAGGCAAATCAGCTATCTAAAATTCTCTTTTCATTTAACGAAAAATAAAAAGAACTATATTTCAATAAACAGCCTAACATAAGGGATATCCTCAAAGTAACAATGGAACTTATGTTTCAATATTTTGAAGATCTTATTGTTTTATTTAGCTGTCTGGTCCATCTCTTGTAGAGATTTATATTTGAAATTCACACTCCCCCTCCTTTCCTAATGAATATATTCCATAATTAGTGTTCAGTTATTATTACTGCTGGGTATTGGGCATTTGTTGCTTCGGCTCTGTCCTTTTTCAAACCTCGGATCCGGCTCCGAGGTTTTCAAATTCTTGGCTCCGGCTCCAAAAAAGCCAGCTTCGGAGCCCGAGCCATAACCAAAATTTTTATTATCAAGATATGCTCTTCTTATTTAAAAATTATTTTCCCACAACCTACCAATTTTCAACATTTCCTTCAAAGAATCATTATACCCCTCTTCAACCATAATTTGTACAATTTCTTGATTTTTGTTTAAATAAATAATTATTCGACTTTTCGTGCCCCAATTTTCTTTAATAAATTTTTTAAATATTCCATCACTATTTTTATATAAATTAATTATTTCTTCTTCATGTATTTCATGTAATAATTCAACTTTTTCTAGACCTAATTTAACTTTTTCTATATTTATTTTACTTTTTGATCCTTGTATTGCTAACAAAAAATTAGCTAATTCACACATTAATTCAAAATTTGGTTTACTATTTATCATTTTTTTATTCCAAAAAGTTCTAAACATTTTTAAAAATTTTTCTTTATCTTTGGATAAAAGATTTATATTCCGAATTATTTCTTTAAAAAGATTTGAGAAATTTAGTTGCATATCTGCACCATTTTTTGTTGAAATATTTAATGGTTTACTAAATAATTGTTTATAAAATACAATTTTTAGTTCGTGTTCCATTAAATCTTAAAAAATGGTTTTTTTAGATATATAATATAATACATATTTAAAGCTTAATTAATGCTCTATATGGCTTATAGACAAACTAATAATCCTCTAATATATACTATTTTTAGTTCAAATTTTGCAATATTTGCTTTATTCTTGGAATTATATTTTAGGGGAATTACGCCGGCCTTACAATTAATTAATTTAATTTAACTCTACCTAGACGAAATAAAATGGGCTGTTTCATTTCCAGTTCTATAAACATCCATTTCCCTAAAAACGTTCTCATTTTACTTTTTACTTTCAAAATATATTCTGATTGTTCCATCGAGTTTAAATGATTATATAATAAACTTTGTTTTTTAATTTCTTTAATATCTTCAATTTCAACCCAATTTTCTGGTAGAAGGTTGAGCATATACTAAATATTGAATTAAATATTAAACCTCCAAATTAGTGAAGGGAATTTTGTACTGTATTGTATTCCGTGCGGGAATGCCGAAAAATACCGATACCGATAAATACCGATAAATACCGTTTACGGAACTGTAGATCACTAGTTCAAATTAGAGAAGAATTTTATAGTAATTTATTGGTAAGGAACTTAATTTTTGTTTAAAAGCTTCAGATAATTTATTTTTCAGATAATTTTTTAATTTAATCATGAAATTATGCCGTAACGGTATTTTTAAATTAAAAAGAGAAATTTACTAATATGCCAGAATATCCTAAAAATTTTTTATCTCCATTGCCAATGTTTTATAATTAAATCTATAATTTAATTTAAACCTTTGTGTGTAAATATTTAATATTTTCCCTATTAATTTCTGAATCCTTATTTTCCTCTTTTAAATCATTATCAAAATTATCTTTTTCAAAATCCTTGGAATCCTTAATTTTATTAAAAATCATCCAAAAATTAGCCATTTTCTCCAATTCCTTCCAATTAATTTCTTCGGGTAATTTATTTAATTTTTGTTCAATTTCTTCATATTTATTAATTAATTCTATCAATTTATTTATATTATTTTCAATATTATTATTATTTTCATTTATTTTTTTATTATTTTTTCTTTTTTCTTTTTTATTATTTGCCCTTTTATTATTCTTTTTTGCTTGCACTATTAATATTTTTAATTTTCCTTTTATTTCATTAACAGATTTGGCAATAATAAATGCACTTAATTTTCCCCACATTTTATTTGTTTTTTCATCATATGGGGAATTTTCTTTGAAAAATATGCTGGTATATTGTTCGTCTAATTTTGTTTCATCAATTCCTTTAAGGAAATTATTAGAAGTATCCTAGCTAATTCTCGTCATTTTTTAGAAACTGACTTGCTCTTAAGTCATAGATTCAAGTCTTGGTCTTAAATAGAGTTGGATTGGGAGATTCAGAGGATGGAAATATGAACTAACAAGGATATCTGAAACAGAAATAGAATCCCGACTCCCCTATTGGCTTAGGGAAGTTCAATTTTGGTCTTGAGTCTTTGAAAAGAAAAAAACGCCATATTTAAGTACACCCTCATTTTTAGGCAATTTTTAGTCCCAAAGATGTATTTAAAATAGAGGTTCTACAGTAAATAAATAATAATTTAGAATGTTCTGTCTAATTCAAGTTCAGACAAATTAATTTTGAAAGTTTAATTATAAAATAGCTTTAAAATTTAATTTTTTAATACCTAAAAGAGAGAAACTTTCAGCAAAATTGATTCTCTTTTCATTAAAATCAAAAAACCATAAAACAATTAAAATAAAATTAAATTCTTTTAATTTAAACATATTTAGGAATTCAATTTTTAATTTAATTTCTAGAATAAAATTAGAAAAAAATTTATTTAATCTTAACACAAAATATATTATTCAAATAAGGATGCTATATTTAAATAGAGGATTTAAATTAAGGTGGGGTTGATTTCAGAATTGTTATAAACTTGAGAGTATTTTAAGACCTAATTCTGATTTTAATTAATTTAAATTAATTTTCTTTAGAAATAAATTTTTGTTAAATTAATTTTTTAAAGAAGAATGGACTTTTAAAATAAATTAAAGTGATTTTATAAAAAGGATTGTCTACCCCTAATGAAAATTAAATTAATATATTTCAAAATATTTTTTTGATAAATTTTTATATATGTATTTACATCATGCTTATATAAATTTTTTTAAATTTAATGATGAAATTAATTTAAAAAAATAAAAGCACTTAAGTATTAATTAAATATGTTTAAATAATATTATGAAATTTTTTTTAATTTTCTGTCAATTAAAAGTAAATGTGAATAAAAGAATTGAGATTATATGTATGATATGTACAAGTATGGGGCTTAAAATAGAAGCTGTAGAAAGAGATAATCTCCAAGCAATTGTTATGGGAGGTGGGAACAGAATGGGGGAAATTAATATTTAGGAGCATGTCTACGCTTATAAGTTTGATGGACAAAAGTTAACTCAAAATCAGTCTGAAACTTGACACGAAACCTCAGATAACATTTTTTACTCTAGTTAACTCAAAACAATTTATTCTTATATTGAAATTTAGGCATTATTTAATAATGTTTCTTCTTACTTAATATTAAATAACAATATTTAATAATATGATGCAATTCTTTTTATTTTTTAGAGAAATGTAAAATACCTTTATTTAATTTTTTGTCAACATATATTTTAAAATTATATTCAATAAGAATTCACGTGAATAAATGAATTTATGATTTATAAATAATTTTATTTTGAAATGCCGACTGCACTTTAATGCTGACTGTATCCAATTTGCACTTTTAAATGTTAATATAAATTTAGAAAAATTTTTCCTTCACATTTACATAAAAATTTATTTTATAAAATACAAACACAGACATTTAATTTATTTTTAAATAATATTTATATATTTTTATATATAATACCAGATATTTCCAAGTTATTACCAAAATAAGTCAAATATTTTCAGTAAAAAATTTAAAATAAAAATGATTTTATTATTAAATTTTAAATTAGTTTCTATTTGTTTATTTTATTTATTATATTTTTGTGTTATTGTTGAATGCTTTTCGATGTTTGGTAATTAATATATAAATTGGGAATTTATAAATTTTAATTATTTTCTAATAATTTAATGAAAGATTAAAAAAATTAATGTTTTGGAGGGAATGTGATCTAAAGTTTAATTGGGGGTTTTGACTTTAAAAAGAAAATATTTGGAATATTCTTTTTGATAAAATTTTATTTTAGTATTTTTTACTACCCTTAAAAAATTTTTAAATTTTTCAATTTATTTTCCAAATCAAAATTATTTTCTTAAAGGAATTGAAGATTCTCAGCTAGATTTTCGTTATACCAGCATATTTTTCAACAATAAAAATTCCCCATATGATGAAAAAACAAATAAAATGTGGGGAAAATTAAGTGCATTTATTATTGCCAAATCTGTTAATGAAATAAAAGGAAAATTAAAAATATTAATAGTGCAAGCAAAAAAGAATAATAAAAGGGCAAATAGTAAAAAAGAAAAAAGAAGAAATAATAAAAAAATAAATGAAAATGAAAATAATATTGAAAATAATATAAATAAATTGATAGAATTAATTAATAAATATGAAGAAATTGAACAAAAATTAAATAAATTACCCGAAGAAATTAATTGGAAGGAATTGGAGAAAATGGCTAATTTTTGGATGATTTTTAATAAAATTAGGGATTCCAAGGATTTTGAAAAAGAAAATTTTGATAATTATTTAAAAGAGGAGAATGAGGACAATAAAGTTTATAAAAAGTATATACAGGATTTACATAAAAAGGTTTTAAAAATCAATGTTTTTAAATCCCCTCCCCTCCATCGAATTTCGGCATGCCCGTCCATCCCCTGTGTTGTTATATACCTAATAGTGTTGGTCACGGTTCCGTATTACGGCGGTATTTTTTGGTAATACTGCCGTATTTTTACCGAAATACGGTACCGAACAATTTTTAAAAAATCGGTATTTTTTCGGTATCGGTATTTTACCGAAAATACCGATACCGAAAAATCGCGTTTGACCAACACTAATACCTAATTCCTTTCAGTAAAATATTAATAAAATAATTTACAGGAAATACTTCAACTTTTGCCAGAAGAATGGATTGAAATTAACGAAATTGAAAAGGTTCAAAAACAAAGTGTTTTATATCGATATTTAAATGCAACAAAAGAATTGAAAGAGATTATGAATGCGAAACATAAAATGAGAGAATTATTGGGGGAAAATCTTTATGTTCTTGAATTGAAGCAACCAATTTTATTTCGTTTGGGTATTTTATTTTTATTATAATGAATATAAATACTTTAATAAATATTTATTTAATCTTAAGCCTTTATATTTAACTTAAGACAAGCTCGCTTAAGAAAGTCTTGCAGAAGTTTAGCTACCGGGCAGGATTCAAACCTGCGACCTCATGACAGATATTGCTGGGCGCTTTCGCTCACAACATAAAGGAGCCCTTCCACTCGACTCTTTTATCTTTTAGATCGTTTAACCACCGCCTAAGCGTTTTAAATGCTTTAGGTGATTCATCCTTAAACTTACTTAAAATCTTTGATGTAATCAACCTCTGTCAAAAGAGGTCGACTACCTGCTAATTAAACTGACAGTGCATGCTTCGTGTTGCCAGATTATTGTGACAATGCAAGCACAATAAAGACTGAATATGTAAATGTACATAATCTTTTTGTGAATTAAAAAGCGAGTCATTGTCACCAAAAAATAAAAGTTTATTATTGAAACTAGGAAAAGCTGAAAATATTTTTAAAATTTTTAAAATAAAATATTTTTAATTTAAATAAATTACAGATTTAATTGAACATGAATACAAACTTTTGCTTTACAAAAATTTATTCGGCAATTCATATAATTCCCCAATTAGTATGGAAAACAACCTTCGTTTAGATACGTCATATATTTTTAAAAAAGTAATTGGAAGACTTAATTTAACAAAAAATATTAATTTAAAGAAACAATTTCGGAAAGATTGGAATAAAAAAATTAATAGTTCTCATCTTGAAATATTTTGTGATTTAATTAATGTATTATATAAACTGACAGGATCAAAAGAAACAATTAGTTTACAATTAATATTAAGTGGTAAACAAAAAATGGAATTTTTAAATGATTTTCATGAAGAAGAAATAATTAATTTATATAAAAATAATGATGGAATATTTAAAAAATTTATTAAAGAAACTTGGGGCACGAGAAGTCGAATAGTTGTATATTTAGATAAAAATCTAGAAATTGTACAAATTATGGTTGAAGAAGGGTATAATAATTCTTTGAAGGAAATGTTGAAAATTGGTAGGTTATTCAGTTGTAGAGAATTTTTATTCTAAACATTATTAATAATAATTGAAAAATCTGCATTTACCTATATCAAAAATCCACAAAAATTATAAAACACAAAAATTATCATAAAATCACTTTATGCGTAATATTTTTTAACTCCAACAATTGAATTGTGCAGTTTTTTTGAGAATTCTGGAAGGCCTTACGAAAAAACATGACACTTAATTTTGAAAACTACAAAAAAAAATAAATTTTCACATCTTGAAAACCCCATGAAAATTTTTAAAAATAATTGTTATATTAGACCTATCAAAAAACCACAAAATGAGGAAAAATCCGCACATATCGAATCCTTGGAATAAACACATATATTTTAGAATTAACAGAGAATCAGTTAATGGATTTAATTGAGCAAACATATTTAATTAAGTTTAAAGAAGAAAATAATTCAAAAATAATTTTGGAAGAATATATTGCTGATTTATTAATTTTAATTAATTATTTGAATAAAAAATTTGACAAAACTGAAAGATTAAAGGAATGGGAAATTTTTAAACAAATTATTTTACATATGATTGATAGTTTATTTAACATAAAAGCTTTAGAGAAGATGAAAAATGAAATATTAAATTATAACGAATCAAGAGTTATTTTGTGTAAAAATATGTTATATTCCCTCAAAGATTTTTCTTTAAAAGAAATTTCAATTCAAAATTATTTAAAAGAAGAATTGGAAATTTTAAAACAGAAAATTTTTGTAAAACCTTCATTAAATGAGGGAATATTAGCTTTTCAAAACCAATTACATTCAGAAATGCTTTTAAAATTATTTGAAGAAAGGCCTGATTTTAAAGCAGAAATGAAGGGTAGGTAAAATCATAATTAAAGGAAAGAGGGAACTTATTTACTTTAACTACCCACCCCAAAATTTTTCCGAGGGATTTTCATTTAGATTTGGACAATATATACGTCAATCGAAAGAGCTCGACGAGCTGAAGCGAATGGTGGCAAAATCAGCTTGATTCGATGATTTTGAACAAAATTAAGAGTGACTGAATTTTCGCTGGAATAACTGCTTTTGTGTGGCTAAAGGGTAGGTCTGCATTTTAAGGCTGAAAATCGGCAAAAAGGTATATGTCTATGTTACTGGTGTAGAACTCAGTGACCGTTAACTCCCCGCGAGTAGTGTGCTGCCAAACCACTCGCGAAACGTGGGGTTTTGTACAAGGTTTGCTTTAACCATTTTGAGCCCATTTATCTCGGCACATTCTTGAGACCGCGGGCTTATTTTGGTGTCATTCGATTCAGCTCGTCGAGCTCTTTCGAATGATGTATAAATTGTCCATATATAAAATACATCCGGCAAAATTTTGGGGTCGGTAGTTAAAGTAAATAAGTTCCGGAAAGAGTGTATTTAAAAATTATTATAAAAAGATAATAATTTTTAACAAATCTTTTATTAGAAAAATTGTAATAAAAACAATTATATATAAATATATATTAAAAATATTATTTTAGACTTGAAAGGTGAAGCAAAGTCTAAATTTGAATTTTTAATTGGTAAATCTGAAAAACAAGAAAAGAACAAAGAAATTGTTCAAGAAAATACCGATCAGGTTTAGATAAATATTTTTAAATTAATATTAAATATGCAGGCAATAAAATAGGGTTTTTGATTTCGATTAATTAAAATTATTTAGAAAATTTTATTTTAAATTTTAAATAGATTGAATACAACAAAGTTACATACAATTGTCCAAAGAATTCCAAAATTGCTGATAATAACAAGGAAAATAAAGGTTACTTTTTAAATATTGTTTCTATGTTTGTCCATTGTTTAGCAAAAAATTAGTAACTTGTCTTATTAAAATTAAAAACCCTGTTAATTAAAAAATATTACTTTCTAAACAAAAATTAAAAGTACTTATTTCAATTTTACCCATCCTCATAATAAAATATTTTTAAAAAATTTTCAGAATTATTCCTTTTAACAATATACAAGGAATTTCTGATTGAAGGCCCTAGTCCAAATGTCAATTCTCACAGAAACATTCAAACAATTCAATTAATTGCTTTAACAAGTTATTTAACGATAACAATTAGTGAAATAATTAAAAATATTTATTTGGATTTTGAAAATAATTTAAAAGCTAAAAATAAAGGTTTGGGTGAATATGTGACGATATTAGTTTTAAGAAAATGGACTGAAATAAATGAAGATAATATACGAATTAAAGAAAGCTATAAAAAATTATGTACAATTTATATATTTGTAACAGAATATTTAATTATACATCATAATTGGTGGCCTAGACTGACTGAGAAAATAAATGAATTGGTAAGTAAAAATTTAAGTAATTTGTGTATGTCAAAATCTAGAATCCTTTTAGTTATTCATTCACCAACAGCCTACCCACTAAAGCTTTTACTTGTCCTTGATTCTGTTTATTTTATAAGTTAATCTTTTATTAAATAAAATATAATTTATTTTTGGATTCAAACAACTAATATTCTTAATCAAAGGAAATTAGGCTGATTTTTAGAATTATTTTTCATATTATAATCGTAGTTAAATTAATAAGTCGGAATTTCGATTCAGATATGATTTAATAATTGTTTTTTAACGTTACCTTATATTAATAAATATAAAAAATCTAAGTCTAAATTTAAATATATAAATTTAGAATAAATATATCAACATAGAAATTGCTGACAAAAATTCAATTAATTGTGATAATGAAGAATCTGTGAAAGAAATTTCATCAAAATTATTGTCACAAACATCAAATGAAAGAAATCATATTTTTTGTATTACCTGGCTTCTAAATAGTTCTGAAGAGGCAAGACAATTCTTTTGTGGAGCTGATATTGAGTATAAAGATAAACTTGTTTTATTAATTAAAGAAGAAGGACTTTTGGCTTTAGAAATGCAACATCCTTATGTTCTTAAATTAAGTATGTGTGCTGAAAAAATAAATATGTTATCTTTCATCCCTTAGACAAAGTTTAGTCGGAAATTTTAAAGTCGAAATCTGAAGAAAAAACGTCGGAACCTTTATTTCCGACCGGCCTCGTGTCTTTCGGGGAGATAACTTTTGGGCAATTTTAAAATCTTAAAATTTTTTATTTTTAGATCAGATGGGGCAATCCACAAAGCTTTATTTATACAAAAAATATCTTCATTATAATCACAATAATTATAAATCTAAAAGTGCAGAAAATAGATTACTTAGTGAATTTATATTTAATGAATTTAGAAAAATTGAAAGATTTGATGATAAAATAATTTTAGAAAATAAAAAATTATGTGAAGTTATAAATATTAAAACAAAATGGTTGAGAACAAAAATTTTTGAAGACGACCAATTTTCTAAAAAGACAATCTGTTTGTTGAATAGGTAAATAAATTTATATTAATTTTATTTTAGAAATTGAAAACTAAGGGGTATATACAGTGAATTCTCTTAATTTGATACTCTCGGGAACGAAATGAGCCGACTTAAGATGAAAATACAGTAACCTTCGCTACTTCTTAAAAGTGTTGCAATTAATTTGAAAAATTTAGATTTGGATTAATTGTTACTACAATAGGATATAGAAATATTGTTAGAGTATCGAATACTAAAAACTCTCACAAACGGGAATTAACTATTCCTCAATTCAAATCATGGGAAGGGGAGGGATGCGAAAATAAAGAAGACCAAGAAGATGCTTTGGATTTGGTTCGTAAAGAAATGGAGAAATCTCACGTTAATTTTCTTAAGAATAATGATGAAATAAATGATTATTTAAAACATCTTGGAAGAAAATGTAGAATAAATCGACTAACATCTACTACTAATATGCTCTATGATAGCAATGGTAAATTTACTTTTTATGTTGCTCACAAATTCTTGTGACTATAGCCAACTATAGTTATTGAATCCAGCTGATTTTGGTGTAATTCGACTCAGCTCGAGGAGCTGAGTCGAATGATCTTTTGTTTAATTGAACGTTTTATCACAAAGATTTACTCTAAAAATGAGCCTATGGGATTTCAATTTTCGTGGACCTATATCTCGGTCCCCTGGAATTCCAAATAAAATGATTGTTACCTTTCGACTTAGACCTATGAGACAAGGTCGAATGAATATAAATCGAATGACTTTGGAACCGGCCACTGGCTAAATTACAGCCAAAAAATTGTGGGCATATAACGGAAAAGTGCCTATGATTTTTAATTTTATTTTCTAAGCTTTAATCAGCCAAACTCATGTAGAACATTTTTACGATGCATTATTTGAGCAAAATAAATCCTTTGCATATTCAAAAAGAATAGCTGCTAATTATTTTAATTGGTATAAATGGGTAGATGAAATACTTAAAAATATTTGTGAAAAAAATAATAAAAATATTTTGACAATTTGGGAATCATTAGAAATTAAAGCGAAAATAATAAATAATTATGATTGTATTTTTGATTTAAATGATGAAGATAATGAAGAAAAACAATTGAAAAGACTTGAAAATATTGAAGAATTTTTGTTAAAAATACAATTTAAAATTAAAAGTTTTATTTTAAATTTACAAAATAAAAAAACAAAAAAAGTTGAAAATAAAAATGATTTTAATTATTGGGAAAATTTATTAAATAAATATTTGTTTGAAGAAGAAAAATTGAATATTAAAAATTGGAGAATAGTTAAAATTGAATATAAAAATTGGATAAAAGAATTAAATTTAAAATGGTTGTTAGAATTTTTAGATGAAAATAATAACAAAAAATATTCGACTGAAAAAGTGATTGAATATGTTAAACAAAAAATGAAAGAAGGTTGGGAGGTTTTTTTAAATTAAAATTATATTTGGAATTCCGAACTACAAAAACTGGTCAAGAAAAACAAAGGAAATTTTTGCGAAAAAAAGTTAAGAGTAAAAATAAATTAAAAAGAAAGTCGAAAGTAATACTTTTTAGAAGTAGGGTTAGCGAGTTATAATATCCGAGCCGAAAAATGTCCGGATATTCAAAATTTTCCAGTATCCGCCAATGAAAATTTTAAATTGGGAGAACTACCTAAGAGATATCTCAAATAACGAATTCATATGCCGTATAACCTACCTATATTAATTGCTCTCCTTCAAATAGCTACCACATAATTTCCCACCCCCACACCAATTGCACTAGTTCTCGTATAATTGCCCTCCCTGAATTAATTGCAATAATTATCCAAATAGAATAATTATACAGGGTAGTTATTCCCGGAAATACGGTAATTATTTCAGCCACAGAATGTGAACAACAGGACGGGAGTTCCTAAAGCTTCTAGCACATATTAAAATAAAGATTTGAGTTAAATATTATAAAATTAAGAATTTAAAAGCGAACAATTACGAAAATCACTTCCATTAATGGTTGGAGATAAAATTGAAGATTTGGAGAAAATAGCAAAAATTTTGGGGTTAGAATTCGACCCTGCCGATTTTGAAGAAAAAAATAATAATAGTAGTGATTATTTTGATATTGAAAGCAAAAGTAGTAATACAGTTTTGGATGAAAAAGAAGAAGAAAATAAAATAAATGATGAAAATATTTTAAATAAAAATAATCCAAAAAAATTAAAAAATAACAAAAAATATTTAAAAGAAAAAAAGAATAAAAATAAGAAAAATAAAAAATCTAATAAAAAATCAACAATTAAAAATTATGCAAAATTATATGAAAATATAAAAAATTCAGAAACAAAAATAGAAGAAGAAAATAATAATTCTGATAGTGAAAATGAATTATGTGTTGAGGAAAATGAGAATACGGATAGTGAAGAAGTATGTAATTTTGATGTATTTTAAGTATTTTCTCTAAAATATTAGCCTCTCATTGAGAATGTTAAAAATAATTTTTTGTTTTATTTTGGTGAAAATATGTTAAAATTAAAATGTATTAGGCCGGCGAAGTTTGACTCTGATGGGTCTCAGGACCAAGTCCCATCCAATTTTTTGCTATTTTTTGTGAAGGGTTAAGCCATTAAGCCATTTACTATAATTAAAAAAATTAATTTATGTAAATAAATAAAGCCTTCACAAAATTCATTGGAATCTGAAGAAGAAAGTCAATCATCATCTAAAAGCGAAAGGTCATTTTCTGTTGAAGGGGAATGTTCTACCAAGCCTTCCGCTTCTGTTGTTGTTGAAAATGATTTAACTATTCAAGATAATTTAGAAAGGAAAATTCAAAATTGTAATGAAATTATTATTATGAAAAATAAAAAAGAAATTGAAGAAGAAAGTAGCAGTAGTTCTTCTTCTTTTTGTGCTTTTGATCAAAAATTAGAGAAAAATAATTGGAAAACAATAACTAAAAATAATGGAGAAATAACAGAACAAAAATATTTTGATAATAATGACTGGATGGTTTGGGATTATTTAAAATTTAATTTAAATAAATTTAATTTAGTTTTATGAAATTATTTCAAATAAAAACAATCAAATTAAAAAATATAAACTTGAGAATGTAATTGATGGATTAATGAAAATCATAAACTTATGGGTATATTTTTGTGTTAATTAAATAAAAAGGTGTTTAAGTTGTTCCTTACTCTCTCGATATTTTTGAAAGATATAACCAAAAATTTCATAAAAACGATATAACTTTCGAAAACTCCGAAGAATAGGTAAGGAACGGTCCCAGACCCAGTGGGTGAAGATTCCAAATCGAAGAATAGCTACGGGATCATATTCCGACTTTGAAATACACCGAATTTGGAGTTCAGTTCCAATTGAATTTGTCCGCCAACATATATAAAAATTAGAGACGGTCAAACGCCCAAATCAAAAATTTGACCAAAACTTTATTATTTATTAACTACTTTTTAATTTAAACTTTTTTAGAATTCCAATACAAAAATTTTAATTGGAGGTTCATATTTATTAAATACAAGAACAAAAGATTCAGATATAGACATTATAATAATTATTCCATCTGAAGATTTTATTAATTTGGAATTAATTTATGAAAAACAATTTTATAGTAATTTAGAAGATTGTAATAATTGTAACGATAATTCTTTTTATTGTTTATTATGTCAGGTAAATTTGATCGGGAAAAAAAATATTTTTAAAATTATTTTTAGGATTATAGAACAAATTTTCTTCGTAAAATTCCTGGGAGAGTTTCAACAATAAATTTAAAGTTTTTAGGACAACAATTTGATTTAATTCTTGTTGTTCTACCTCCACAAATATTTTTAGAGTTAAACGAAAATAATTTATCTGTTAAAATATTTGATGGAATAATTGCTAATTTTATTGAATTAGTTGGAGGTTATTCAACTTTTAATGAAAAATCTAAACATTTGGGGATGTTGCTAGCTTTGTCTGGTTATTTTTAATTAATTAATTTTGTGAAATTAAAATTAATTTTATTTTTAGGTTATCGGGCAAATTTACGTATTTTGGAATTAATTAATGAAAAAGACAAAAAGAACTTTCAATTAATTGTGCTAATTTTGAAAGTTTGGGCAAAAAGTTTGTGTGGATATTTAATTAAATAAATATATAATCCTAAAAATATTTCAATAATTCTTTGAAAAATTTTTACAAAACATTAATTAAAAGGGAACTTTCCTTCACCGTCACCATTAATTAATTACATAAAAATAAATTCTCTTTAAAATAACATTTTCGAATTAAATTTAAAATTAAATATAAATATATATTTTTAATAATAAAATTTAAACTTTTAATTATTTTAATTTTTAAACAGATAATTTTATATATGGCAATACTTTTGGATTTTTTAGTGGAAGTTCAATTTCTATTTTGGCATGTCGTTTTATTATTTCTAATCCAAATACAACAATTATAAATTTACTTGGAAAAATATTTGAATATTTTTCAAATAAACAAATTAATGGAAATATAAAGTATTATTTTAATAAAATTAAATTCTGTTTATTAAATAATTTCAAAAATCGAAGGGGTAAATCTCAGTTGGCTCGGCTCTCAGTTGCCCGCTCCCGAACACTCGGGGCGGTTGTGTCGGGTTCGTTGTCGGGGTACAATTCTAATTTAAAATAGTAAATTTTATTTTAAAAAATCAAAAAATGAATCTATCGGACAGTGGTGCAAAGTCCTATCTTTTATTATTTTGCACGAGTTTTTAAAAAAGGGGAAAAATAGGCCACTGACGGATATATTATAATAAAATTATTATTTAAAGTTCTGTTCCAATGATTTTGGAATTAAATACTGATTATCCAAATATTAGACAATATTTGGATTGGAATATTCCAGATGAACATATAAATCGTTCAAAACAAATTCCTTCAATTTTCCATCAAAATTTAAAAGAAAATTTATATCCAATATGGCCAATTATAACACCTGGATTCCCTACACAAAATTCAAATTTTAATATGAATATTTCGACTGCCAAAATTATTCAAAAAACAATGAGAAATGGTTGGGTTTTTTGTTAAATTTATTTTTGAAAAAAGAATTTGGGTCATAAATTCTTTCCAAAAATTAAAATATATTTAAGGTTTATGGGAATTCAATTCAATTTTAAATGAAATAGAGGGAATTAAAAATGGAATAATAATACCAGTACCATTCGAAACATTATGGCAAAATTGGTTTGAAGGACGTCTTTTTGAAAATAAGGTATTTTAATAAAATTAGTGTTTTTTGAGTAATCTGGTAGAAATAATACTTTATTTCTTAAACACTTGAAAAATTAAAATGCTATATAATGTTATTTATATGTAGTATTATCTAATTAAATATTGATTTCGATAACTGAGAATTTTGTTCGGCCTCGTTCCTCAATTTTAAATTATTAATTTAATAATTTTAAAAATTCATATCAAATATCTTTCCAATTAAAAAATTTTCTTATAAATTTAACATTTTTAGTATCATAATTATTTGGCTATAATATGTAGATATTCACCTAAAAGTAAATATGGCTCTTTATTTTGTGATTATGTTGGTACAAGAATTCGATTACAATTACTTTTTTCTATTGAAATTTTACAAAATATAGAATATTGCCATATAAATCCAAAAAAGCTTTTAAATAACCAAAAATGTTCGGATCAATTTAAATCTGAAAATGATGATTGGATTTGTAATGTTTGGATTGTTGGAATTGTCTTTAAAAATAATGATGAAAATAATTATTTAATATTTGAAAATGAAGGGAAAGAAAAACTTTTTGAATTTTCTTACAGAATAAAGTATGGAAAAAACATTATAAAATCAGAATGGGTTAATGAAATTAAGCTTTTTGATTTAAATGTTATTAAATATATTTGAAAGAAGATATTCTTAATTAAGAATTTAATTGATACATATAATTTATTTATTGATAGCCCTACCCTCATTTTACTCGGCACTTTTCGTATAAAGATGTAGAAACATTCCGACAGTTTTTTTACATATAAGGATCTGTAACTGAAATTGACTGGTTCATATCATATTAATACTAAAGGCCGGACTGGGAGGGTCGTACAATAATCGAGATCGATATCTCAAAAATATCTATCTCGATAATCGAGATTTTTATTAGAGATTTCGTCTCGGTCCGGTCTCTAATTAATATACAATTTCTGTTATAATAATATATTTATACTTTATATTGTAAATATAATAATACATATATTGCTTTATTTCAATTATTCAAGAGCATTTCAAAAATTATTAAATTTTCAATGATTCAGAAGTATCTATAATTCCTGCTCTCTGTAGAGAATATTATTAACGAATTTTGACTCACGGGAAATATTCGTTACTAAAGCCGGAATTAAGCAAATGATTGAATTTCTCCACTTTCTTCTTTTAAAATATCTGTTGAATATTCTTCGGTTTCGTTGTTTTTATTTCCTTTTGTTTTTATATTTGGACGGCGTAGTCTATCCAACCTAAAGATTTTTATATTTTAAAATTTAAATTTAATTTTTTAAAGTTGTAAATTAGTAATTAGAGCACAGATTTTTATGCATTAAAAGATGCAAACTATGCACTATAATATAAATGAAAAAATACCAAAATATGCCAGGTGTTATTTTCCCCAATAACATTAAAATATGCTCAAAATATGCATTATGCAACAAGATCCGAAATGTACAAAAATATTGGGATTTTTAAATAAATTGTAAGAGAAATCTTATTTTATTAATGTCCAGTCTATTTTAATTAATTAGAAATAGCCAAAAATATATTTTTTAATTACCATCCAATCAGTCTCTTTCTTCTCCCCTTTTTTCTTAAATTATTATTATCTTGTCTATCTTCTTTAAAATTTTTATTTTGCAATTTTGTTGATGTAGTAGATGTGCCTGATTTTATAAAATATTCATAAGGTTGTTGGTTCCTTTTCCGTCTCTGAATTTCCCCACTTATTTTACAAAGAATACAAGCTAAAGTGGCAGCCAAAACCAATAAAAACAATAAAAAAATAAGTGAAAACATAATTGGATGATATAATTGTCCTGTAGAATCAGCCAAATTACTTGACAAAGTTTCTACGTTGTGAATTATTTTTGTAAGATCTTCACCTGCCTAAAATATTTTTAAAAAGTTTTTTAAAGTTTTGTTGTATTTAAATCTAATTTTGTTAAAAATCTTAAAAATTATTTAATTAAAAAAAGAAACATCAGTGAATGTTCGATTTAGCCTTTCATTAACAGTGCCGGTTATTGCCTCTAGCTGCACTCTAATCTAAAAAATAATATTTTAACGGAACTGATGTAAAAACTTTAAAATTTAAAATTTTATTAATTTACTATGAATATATTTAATTTATTTAAACAAAACTGTTCTAAGCAAGTCAACTGTTTCAATCATAGCCTCTTCAACATTTAAATTAAGTTCAATAACAGGACGAGCTCTTTGAATTGGTAATGATGACATTTTTATAGAAATTTTATTCTTAAAATTTAATTTTTAAAAATTAACTCTCTTAAATTTTTTGTGTTAATAAAACTTATTTTATTAAATTTTAAAGAATAAAATTTGAACTGAATTACTTTAAAGAATTACAAATTACCAATAAAATAATTTAATAAATTATTTCTAAAGTCAGTTGGTATAAAATTAATAAAATTGTTAATTTTTATTAGACAGTTGTTTCTTAAAGAAATAAAAGTTCAGATAAGTGTGCAAAAAAATATTTAAAAGATTCTTTACATTTTAAGGATGCAAAGAATATATTAAAATTTTTGAAATTAAAAAAATACTTTTTTAGAATAAATATTTTAAATTTTATATATTGAAGAATATTTTATTTTTAATTATTCATTTATTGAATTTTGATGGAATTTTTCGAATTTTTAAATAGATCAAAGAAAATTAAATTTTAATCATTTAATAAGAATGTTTAAAGTCCTAATGATTATTTTTAATGTCAATATGTAATTAAAATAACCCTAAAAAATTGAAGTGTAGATATCTCACTTAAACTACCAAAGTTGAGAAATTTAAATTTTAAGGTGTCAGAATAAATTTTTTGTTTTCGTGATCTATTACAGTCGAATTATCGAACCTTGACTTAATTTCAACAATAAACCTCACTATAAGAAAATGTAAAAGTAAAAATATTATTGTTTTTAATTTAAGCTAACAAAATGTGAGAATCTGTGTGGTAATGTATTTATAGGAGGATATTTATCAGGTAAAAGAAAAGGCTGGTTGGTTGATTCTTAGCTAAGTAAAAGAACATTGATCCAAGCAACTTAAATATATATTTTTATATCGATTTATCAACTAAAAAATTGCAAAATTATATTTTGGTATTAAAGTATAATCAATTTAAAATTTAAATTTGAGTCTTTTAATTATTATTTTTTACTACAGATTATTAAATTTATGAAAATTCGGTTCTCTATAGTAGTAGATAAAGTTTTAAAAAGTTTTAAGGATTTTTAAAAGCAAATCTCTATTGATATCAATTTATAGTTCGAGAATAAGAAAAAGGTTGGCAGATCCAAAAAAGTCTGGATATTTAACTTTTCTGTACGAATATCCTAATATTTCCCAGGATTTTCCAGTTCTGTTTGAAATACGAGAAAATTGAAATTCAGCAATATTAACTTCACAAAACGTCTATTATTAATTAGATGTGACTTGTCAAGTATCTACTATAGAGAAGATATTTTTATATTTTTTTATATTCTATTAATCTCCATTTCCCAGAGCAGTTTCTTCTTCTTCCTCCTCTGCCATTTTTCTAGTTAATTCAGTATTTATAACTTCATTATTTCGTACACGTTTTTGTTCTTCGGACATTTCCTCCCATTTATTTGCATTACATCTTTAAAAATAAATTTTTTCTTGAAATTTTTATTTTTCAAACCTTGAACGTTCCCTAAGTTTTTCTGCTTCGGGAATAACATCCGCCAACAATTCATAACAAGGAATACAAATACCTCTCATAAAGCCAACCTTTAAAATTAAAAAAAATATTTTGTCTTATAATTCTTCTAAACAAATTTGCTAAAATATTAACTAATATTTTGCATTTATGTCCAACTAGTTAGTTATTTAATTTACATTAGAAAATTTTTAGAAGGTAACTTCATACAAGGAAAATTTTTTTTAAATATATTTGAAATTTTCCTTATATTTGCAATAAAGTCTAAGTTTAGATAAATTAAATGTTCTAAATATTTTTAAAAATTGTAGTAAAATAATTATAATTCTTAAATTCCATCTCAGTTACACTTGCCCCTATCTTTATGTCGATGACTGTATATTTACCTGCATTTGAGGTAATTCATGAGCACGCATTCTGTCCATCATTGCAATAGGTTCTCGCCCATTCATTCTTTCAGCATCTCCCTTTAAATTTAAAAGAATATTTCTTTCAATTTATTTTTTCCTTTAACCTGCTCATAAAATTCTTCAAAAATAACTTTTACAGTTTCAGTCTGAACTTGCCAAGGTTTTGCTGTGGCAATTAAATCGCAAGCAGTCATTAGAATTGCTTGGACCAAATTACTTAAATTGGATAAAAATAAAGCAAATTTATTTAAAAATGCCTCTTTACCGATGTTTTGTGTCATCCCAACTAAATATTCCTTCTTTAATTATAGCACTCAATTGGGCTTTATTTGGAAAGAAAAGTGCCAAATCAGTTGCCAAAATACAATGACGAATTGTGCTCAATATTTTTTTATAATCGGAAGAATTTAAAGATTTGAGTACGTTGTGGCCATCCTTTTTAATTATTAAAATTGTTTTAATTTTATTAAATATCCGAAAAATAATTAAAATTGGACATAAAGTTAATTATTTTAAATAGTTCAAGACTTAGCCCCGAAACCGAAAACCCACAAAAAAGTCTCGAGTCAAGTTCAAGAGTTTTGGACGTTTCTAACTATTCCTCGTTCCATTAACTTATAACGAGAGAGTATTCAATTAATAAATTTTTAAAAATTATCTAAAAATATTTTTATTATTACATTAATACCTGTTGTAAAATAGTCACAGTTTGATTACTAAAAATTAAAAAAAAAATGATTTTTTAAAAAAATATTTAATAAATACAAGTGGTGATGTTCCATTACTGATGTTGAGTAAATATTTGCCAAAGGTGTACTCATATTTTTCTTAAATTAAAAAATAAATTTAAAAATATTTGTGTATTAATCTAGTTATTAAAAGGAAATTAGACTACCTAATCAAATTCTAATATAAAAAATTATAAGACTTAAAATTTAAAGGAGAAGTGTCGTTAAAGGAAAGAAAAATAGTTGAAATCTTATTTCGTATTAACTAAAGATTTTTGGCAAATTCAAAAAAATTTTGATTAAATTTACTAAATAATTTTAGTCTTTAACAATCCCTTTAATTTTAAATTTATTTTACCATATATTGATTATTTTTTCCTCTGTGATCCAAGTCATGACATATTGAGGCCATAAAAAGAGCAATAGCCTAAATTAATTAAATAAAATTTTTTAAAAATTATTTAACTTCTAAAGGTTGAAAGATGGATGTTTGTCGAAGAAATACAAACATTCTGAATGAGAAAAATATTTAAATAAAAAATATTTATTTATTACGCGTGTGCAACAGTCCATCCATGTGTCCAATTGTGGTAAGGAACTTTTCGATAATTTTTGCGAACAGTTAAAACAAAACGAATTAAATCATCACAATCATATGAACTTTAAAAATTAATTAATTTAAAAATAAATTTATATAATAAAAAACATTTGTCCATCAAAAAGTTTTCTAAACATATAAACAGCATATAAAGGTTTTTCTAATTCTGAGAGACGATTTCCATTAAATTCAAAACTAAAAGAAAAATAAATAAATTAATTGGTTATTGTTAATTTTAATTAAAATTTTGTGTTATTTTTATTCTTAAATTTATTTCAAAAAATATTTAAATCCTCTCAAAGTAAAATTAGAATTGCCGGTTAGAACCGAAAAATAAAGGATGCTTCATTTAGTTTTTTCAGACAGTCCTGGATTTACTATTTTTATCTAACTCAAGTCTTATCGATCTTTGTGATTAAACTCTAATATTTTTTCTAACATTATTAACTAAATTTTTTCTGAGCATGTACTATAAGTTATAAATATGCAAAAAACAAGTTCTCTGTACAATTTGAGAGATACTGTGTTATTCTAATGGAGGGCTTAAATTTTGGCCTTTTTTGTTATATTTAATTTTTAATAAAAAATTTAATTTTACAGATCAAGTTCTGGAATAGTTTCCTTGACTTTAACTTTCTTTAATTTGTTAACTTCATCTCTATTACAAACACTGTGATAAGCAAGGACTTCTAAAGCAACTTTGTGTTTCTTAAAATTATTTAATTTTTTTATTTTTTCAAAAGAGGAGGACCTGTTCTGATCGTCTAATCTTTTCATAAAGTTTTGCGTGATGCAAAGCAAGACCACAATAAACAGCAAAAGTTTCAAAAGCTTCTTCATCTACTTGAGTAAATACACCATTTCTTTTATTAACCATTTGAACAACTCCAATTATACTTTAAAAAGAAATTTCGGAAAATTTTGTTAAAAGAAATTATTTTAAAAAATATTTAAAAGTTTGGGTAAAAAATTAATTAATTGTTAAAAATTAATTTGAATTTTTTGAAGATTGAACATCATTTAGTGAAACTTAAGAGAATAATTCGAAAAAAAATAATTCTAAAATTTTTTTTCAAAATTTACTTACTTTCCACGAATAAATATAGGCATACAAAGAATTGATTGAGTGTGATAACCTTTAATAAATATTTTTAAAAATTATTTAAAATAAACTTAACCTGTTAATGAATCAATTTCACGATTAAAACGTTCATCAGCATAAGCATTGGTAATATTTAAACTTTCTCCAGTCAATGCTACATGTCCAGCAATTCCTTTTCCAATTGGAAAACTTAAAAAAAATAAACTTAGAATTTAATTATATGTTAATTTATATATTTGAGATGACCAATAAAGTTGGTGGATAGTTGAAAATTTCCGAATAACCGGCCTTTTTTCGGATCCGGATATACGGATCCGCCAACTTAATGTCCAATTCTTAAAAAATTTTCCACAACTCGAGATTAAAAAAATAAAAGATCCTGGGAAATTTTTGAGTAAAGCTGGGAACTTCTTAACTAGGAGGGTTGACCTTACTCTCATATTCTGCCAAAAAAATAAATGTACATACTACAAAAAATTTATATTTTTTAGAACAATAATTTGTACGTCATATAAATAAAATTTCTATTTTAAATTTTACAAACTTGATAAATTATAATTTATTTAATAAATAATTTAATTTTAAATTTTAAATATAATGGTAAGAATTCCCTAATATTTTTCTTCAAAAATAAACTGACTGAATTTCTTTTTGTCCATCTTGATTGTAAACATGTGCAGGATTTAATTGAGGACTAATCTCTCCATTCCCATTTTGACTATTATTTTCATTATTTAAATTATTCTGTTCTGGTTGGCTAATATCGAAAATACGTGCATAAATCTCTTGTGTTTTATTATCAACAAGGAATAACGAAGCCCGATCAGCATCAACAAGTTTTTGTGCAAAATTCTTTTATAAATTTAAAAATTAAATTTTAATTAATGATATAATAAATAGCAGGGTTTTACAGCATAACCCTTATTTCTAATTTATCTCCCTTTCCCCTTTAATTGTTGGAGATCCTAGGTATCCTAAATTCGAGAAAAAGAGCTCAAAAATTTTCTTTTCAATCTTTTGGATATTTTATTTTTCTCATATAACCATCAACATTAATTATTTTAGACAATTATCAATGTTCTATCGAAATTTATTCTTTAGGAACAAAAAGTATTTTTTAATGAATTATGTATTTAATTATTTAAATTATTACCATAACTTTAAGAATAACTGTATCCATTGTGATAATGTCTTGGAAAATGGATCTAAAAGAAAAAAAGTTATGATTTGTATCTTATAAACATATTTTTAAATACTTGACAACATCAAGAAGAAAGGAGTTTAGTTTACGTTGTCTATTTACATATTCCATGTCTTCAGGTGATGGGGATGTACCAATAATTGGTGTAGGCTGTACTGAAAGCTTTGAACTAGCTTCCTTTAAATTTTTTATTTAAATAAAATTTTCAATTTTTACTTTAGCAAAATGAATGCCAACACCTGCCCAAGTAGTCAAAACTTGTAAAAATTGTCCATCTCTATCATTAACAACAGAAAAGAAATGGATTTCACCTAAAAATAGTAATTCAGAAAATATTTTTATTAAAATATTCACCAATAAGTGTTTCATCACAATCGAATAATTTCAAAACATGGACCTTAAATATTTTTTAAATAACTAGTGGAGATTTTGAAAGTCTTTATTTCTCATCACTATATACGCGAATCTCGCTATTAGGGACTTAAAATTGTATCTTATAATGTGGTATCATAATTATTGAGGTTGGTTACTGAGATAGGGGTTAGCTAAAGGGCCAACCAAACTTAAAGAAGATATTTAGATTAATGAATATTTAATGTAGGAGAATACTGAGGTTACTTCAATTTTTGATCTCACCGGTGGTTTTCTTTGTTTGCGAACTTTTCGTAACTTTATTGTGCCAGCCTCATCATCTGATCGAATTACAGAAAGCCAGGTAGATGGTGATGAATTGTTGTTATTTGTTGTTGCCACATTATCAGTTATAGAATTTATTAAACCTCCAGTATTGAATATTCCGCCTCCAATGATTGATGGGATATCCTCACTTGCTCCTGTATTTGAAGACACAGAGTTGATTGAATTTACCTCATCCTTTTTTAAATAAAAAATAAGAATATGTATGTGAATATTAGGGACGGAAGAATAGGGAGGAAGAAAATAAAAACGGAAGACGAAGGAAAGATGTGGAAGGGCCCAAAAAGACGGGAGTAGGAGGAAGATTCATTCTTCAAATAAAAATTTTAAAAATTTGCCTCATTAGCAGATGCAGGCACAACAAGTTCAAACTGTTCAACTTGTGCTACTTGTGCACAACTCAATGCCAATTCGTAAAGTAAACGATTTCTATTTACAATATTGTCAGAAAGCATTTGTCGAAAATTTTTTCGGCCGGCGGGTGTCTAAATTTTGGAAATTTTTTAAAATAATTTTTAGATAAAAAATACCGAAAACCCAGAAAGTAATTGACGACGAGAATCTCGACGTAATTTATTGTTTCTTTTGAGTGTCCATCGTTGAAATGTTTCTGCAGAAATTTGAGGTCCCGTTACAAAAGATTCTAAAAAGCCTGGATGTGTATGTAAATAGTCGAGAACAACATCGGCATTTCTTTAAAAGGAAATTTTCTTTTAAATTTTTGAGAGGAAAAAACAAACAATTCATTATGTTGTGCTTTATATTGAGAAGCAGAAAGTGTTTGAATTGGTGAGGACATCCTCGGAACCGAAATTGGACACCCTATTTTGCTTGCCAAAAGCGAGCAATTGTCGCTAAAAATTTTTAAATTTAAATTTTAGAATAATTTTTAAAGAGAATATAAAAATTTCCTTTATTTCCTAACTTTCATGGAAGGATAACTAACAATTATAATAAAATTTCTAGTAAATTTAACAACTTCCTAATTTTTCTCTCCATTTAAATAAAAATGGATATATAAATATTTAAATAAATATTTATTTATTTAAATATTACATAGTTCAACACACTTAAAGAGATTGAAAATATTTTCAAACAAAAAATATTTAAAAAAAAATATTTTTAACGTCATTCATTTTCTTAATATTTTTCATTAATTGTCGGTTTAAAAAAAATTTTTTTTATCCGTCCATTAACAAAAATTAAAAATGTTCCCAAAATAAAAAAATATTATTTAGTAATAAATATATGTACGTAAAATATAAAAATAGATAAAAAGCTATTCGATTTAAGAAAATCCTCTTGAGAAAGGATTAACAGTAATGTAAAAAGGATTTTTTTATTTTTTAAATAAACAGTGACTTTAATAATTTAAATAATTAAAAGGGAGCTATAGCTAGAGTGATCGGAACCGGAACCGAAATTTTTATTAAATTAGTGGAGATTGTCTAGTGATGAAGAGAGACCCGGAAATAATTTTTGGAGAGACACCTTCGGAATCGCCAGCAGTTTTAGATAATGTATGAAACCGGGATTTTATAAATTCGAGTAGAACATTAATTATGTTAGGAGTTAAAACACAGATTCGCTATATTTAAATATTTATTTATTTTCCCGTTTTTTAACTTTTATTTAGTCTATCCCAGATAAAAACCTCAGTTTTATCTCATAAACAACAAGAATATCTGTCAAGATAATTTTGGAAGTAACGTCACTTGGATTGGGGTGAGGAAAAATTTTTAGTAAAATAATAGCCTAGATTAGCCTTATCATTTAAGTTACTTTTTCATAAATAAAATTTTTAAACTAAATTAGAAATTTACGTAAAATTAATGTGAAAATAACTTTAAAACTTTAAATATTTCTATAAATATTTAAACGAAAAGAAAAAAAGAGATAAAGAAAACGAGAGAGAAAAAGAAAGAAAATATAAAAGAAAATATTGGGCTACCCTACAACTCATCCAATCCTTAACTCATCTAACACTTAACTCATCCACACGGCCAAAAACGCTCAACTCATCCAATCCTCAACTCATCTAATGCTTAACTCATCTACACGGCAAAAAATGCTCAACTCATCCAATCCTCAACTCATCTAATGCTTAACTCATCCACACGCCCAAAAACGCTCAACTCATCCAATCCTTGAAATATCGGCCGGTTGAGTCCCTAGCCGGTTGAGTCCCTGGTCAGTTGAGTCTCAACCGGCCCAAGACTCAACCGGCGGTAATCAACCACTCAAACGGCCGGGACTCAACTGACCAGGGACTTAACCGGCTAGAGACTCAACTGGTCATGGACTCAACTGGTCATGGACTCAACTGGTCATGGACTCAACTGGTCATGGACTCAACTGGTCATGGACTCAACTGGTCATGGACTCAACTGGTCATGGACTCAACTGGTCATGGACCCTACTTACCAGAGACTCAAACGGCCGGAGACTCAAACGGCCAGAGACTCAGACGGCGAGAGACTCAGACGGCGAGAGACTCAAACGGCCAGAGACTCAAACGGCCAGGGACTCAAACGACTGGTACTCAATAGTCTCGTTCCAAAGGATTGGATGAGTTGAGCGTTTTTGGCCGTGTAGATGAGTTAAGCATTAGATGAGTTGAGGATTGGATGAGTTGAGCGTTTTTGGCCGTGTGGATGAGTTAAGGAATTTTAGCCGTTTAGATGAGTTGAGCGTTTTTGGGTGTGTGGATGAGTTAAGGATTAGATGAGTTGAGCGGGCACGAAATATTGTTTAGACAGCAATGCGTTTGTTGGGTATTTTGTGTTATTTTATTTATTTTATTTTCTCTTTTGCTTCACATCAAATATTTTTACTTAACATTTAAATTATCAAAATTAATGGAACGCAGATTGTTACGATATGGCTAATAGCCCTGCCTATGATGATATTGCGACTAGGGCGGTCTTAAAATTTTTGACGAATTCAGTCGTTACTGAGGCGGCTTTTTTATTGGTAAAAATGTTTTCTTGTGTGTTCGTATGCAAGAGACATAATCATGGTGAGATTTCGCAAAATCTCGATAATTTTTAGATATCTCTCACGACTTTAAGGTTTTAATTTTATGTTTAGGGTTAATAGGTGTCGAGATAATAATTACCCTCGCTCAAACGCCATACCGCATGTTTAGATTTCAAAACTCGGATAAATGCCTAAGAATAATTACCAAAAACTCAGATAAAAATGAGCAAAAACTTGAATAAAAATAATTACCAAGCGTAATTATTCAAGAAGATAAGGTATATAAATTCTAAAACAAATTGAAAAAGTTTAAAAATGCTTGGTCGAGACTTTTCCAAGATAATGTATTTCCTCTAATTGAATGCCCGGACATTCTATTTTTCAATCACCAAATGAGCATTAATATCAGAGGGGGGCATTCTAATAGAGGAAATACGGTATGTAGATTTTGTAGGAAATTTTATTCTCCACATTTAATATAATTTAAAATATTTAAATAAATTTAAATAAACTTACATTTTTTAATTGATGGAGGAAGTAAAAATACTTTTTAAAAACAATATTTTAAAATATGTAAATTTTGCTTCTAAATTAAAAAAAATATTTTCAATAAATTTATAAGACCTTTAATTTATATGAAAAAGGATCTTCTTCAATTTTTTGTCACCAAGGAAACAAGGAAAATAAATAATTTAATATTTTTATATTTTAAAAATAAATATTTAATTTATTTTGGTGAAATTTTAGGTGTTACTTCAAATATTCTCCATCCAAAAATTTCGAAATAAATTGTAAAAATCTATCGAAAATTTGCCAAAAATTCGAATACTTGTTGATGCAACTTGTGATGAACTTCAATTAAATTTCCTTTAATTTTGAAAAAAACTGCCTTTAGAGGTCTTCTTTTTTTAAAGGCTTAATTATTTTTTAAGAAATAACACAGTATTTTTATTTTAGTTAATTTATCTCAATAATTTCAGATTTTTTCTGTTTATTTCTGACCACGTATTTTAATTGTTTAGTATGTATATTTTGGATTTATCCTCACCTAAAATTTAAATTAATATTTAAAAAATTTTCCAGTTAACATCCATAGATTGACAATCAATAAGAGAAAATCGTCAACCAACAGAAGCAGGCATTAAAAGAATAAATAAAAATCTAAATTTAGTATTTAATTTTTGTTGGCAAAAATTTAATTTTTTATTTGTTTAAATAAAAATCTTTTTTTTTGTTTTAAATCTTTACTCTTTTTTTACCAAAAATTATTAAATAAAATTTTTTATGTATCACATGAGGTTTATTTTAAATTTAAATTTTATAATTATTTAAGGATAGTTTACTTAACAGTGATCTATAGAGAGAAAAAATAAATCAACATGTGAAGAGCACCTGCAGAGGTGTAAGTGAAGGCAGGCGCGTGTTCATCCATGACCGATGGCTTAACTTTTCCTTAACTTTTTTTATTTTAAAATTAAAATTTATTTTTATAGCTGGCTTTATTTGGTAATTATTTTGGATATTAAAACCTTAATAATTTTGAATAAACTCTCATATGTAGATCCATTCCTGAGATACTTATTGTATATTCATACAAAAATTAATTTAATTTTCTCCATCTAGTATTAAAAATTAATAAAGTTGAACCTGGTTTATAGTTAAAGCTGAAAAATTCTAATTAAGGTATATTAAATATTTTTAGGCAGCTCACCCCCCCCCCACACACACACTCCCTACCAACCCATTTGTCAATAAATTTCAAAAACGTATTTTAAATTAAAGCAAATCTAGTAAATATTGAGTTTGCCTATTTATAAGTGATGTGTATAATAATTCAATATTAAATTTTGATTTCAAAATAAATTATTCAATTATCCCGAAAATCAAATTTAATAATTTTATAAAATAGATTTATGTTATAATTTGCATTTTTAAAATATTTAAATAAATGTATTTTTAAATTAAATTTTTTAAATAAATTCAGAAAATAACCTTTTTAATAAAAATATTTAATTTTAAATGTCTTTGAATTGGCTTTATTGCAATTTATTTATTGTAATACTCTTTTTCAACATTGTAAAGAGTGATACAGATACTAACCCAGGTATGTATTAAATTCTAAATTAATATGTATTTACATATTAATTTTGATTTACCTTTACCTAACCCACTAAGATCAACCCTTTATAAAAGATCAACCAAAAGATCAACCAATATCCCTGCAAAGATCGTTATGGGGAATATTTCATTATTAAATTAAATATTTTATTAAATAATTTATTTAAAGATATTGATCGATTTGTTGAGATTGCAGACGATCGTTTAACTCTTTCTGACTATGTTGCGTTATATAAAGTTGTTAATAATAAAACTATTACTGATCCAAAACGAGAAGAACAACTTTTGGACGATATGAGAAGTAAGGGAAAGAAGCTATCGTTAAATGAGGATTATGTTACTTTAATATTCCAAGACCAAATGAATGCTAGCAAACATTTTCAGGTAAAGAAAATTTAAAATTAGGGAAAGAAATAACAAAATAAATTATTTATATGTAATTTTTATTTAACAAGTTTTCTGGTTAAGTTGCTTTTACAAAAAAACAATATCTAAGACATTAATGGTTCGTTAAAAAAAAGTTCAAAAAAGGAATCTTGCCGCAAATCCGCAACAATCAAAGTAATTAAGTAATAATTCTGCTATTGTAGAATAAATATATGTATTAGGAAGGAAACTCCAAATTTTTAAATTTAATTATTATTTTTCAGAATTATTTGGTTAATTTATGGAATCAACATGGCATACCACCTATTAAAGTTCGAGATTTAGAAACAGACTTACGCCCAAAAATTGATCAAATAAATAATGAAATGCTGCAATTGCTAGTTAAAATACAAAAACTTCCCTCTGCTGATTGTTTAAAAGAAGTAGATAAGTCTTTAAAGAATTTTATTATGCGAGTTAATGACATTGATGAACAAATTGATGCTTTGAAAATGGCCGTGAAAGGCGGAGACCTCTGCCCTGCATGTAAAAATAATTAACGTTTAGTTAATTATAAAGGGAAAAGAATGAAAAATTTTGGAAAATTTTGGGTTTTAACAAGATTCGGGAAAATAAAAAAATAATCATTTGGATTTAACTAATTCTTTTTGGGTGATTAAATTAATTTTTGGGTGATTAAAAGAAATTATAGTGTAACACAAAAGTAAATGACCGACTATACATATTTATAAGAGAGAATTAAATAGAGAATGAGGATTTATAGAGGTTTTTAGAATTTTTTTATAATTCACGACAATGGTATCGAAGCAGACGAAATTTTTCTGGGTTTTCGCTATTACCTAAGCATGACTGAAAGATGGCATTAAATTTTTATAATATGTATGTATTAAGGAGAAATCAAAAAAAATATTGAGAATGAGAAAAGTAAGATTTAAAAAGTGGTCAGAAACTTTTGTGTCACCCTATGATTAAAACGCTACCAATAATTTTTTTGAATTTCTAATTAATTTTATTTCCAAACTATTTAATAATTCTTTTAAATATTAATTTAACATATTAATTTAATGAAATTATAATTTTGAAACAATTGTATTTCAACAAAATTCGGGATAAAAATAATCATTTGAACTTTAATTCGTTTTTCTTCAATTTTATTAAAAATAAATTATATTTGAAATTTATTTTCCCTGACTAGTCTAAAAAGATTGATTCAGACTAGGTTATTCATGACCGGTTAATTTTTAACTTTGGCGGCCCAAAAGGCAAAAATCAGCCACAGCAAGAATCAACCGGTTGTGAACAAATCTAATTCAGAAATAGAAAAATTTTGTTCTTTAGTTTCATGACAAAAATCCCATAATTCCTTTTACATACTGATATGTCGCAACAAATGTAAATGTAGAAAATAAGCTTAAATAAGCTCATGCTAAAACACGATAAAATCCAAAATCAATTAAACTTTATTTGCCTAAACAATTACCATATACTTCATACCATTAAAAAAGATCAATAAAGATTGTTCTAAATTCCCTAATCATATTCAAAAAATGATCTCATATAAAAATCTTTTATGGAAAAATATTAATAAACCTGCTATCCGTGAAAAATACATTCTCACGCAACAAAAAATCGATAAAGAAATTTCTCGTTTCTTTAAAAACAGAGAAATCTCGAAATTCAACGATCTACGATCTAGATTTCAGTATATAGGGGCCTTCCTTAAATCCAAAAAAACTAAAATCCCAATCTTCAACATCAACGATCAATTTACCATTTCAGACAAAGATAAAGCCGAATGTCTGGCAAAACAATTTCAATCTGTTTTTAACTCTTCTAACTTTGACTCCTCTGACATAAAAACTTCTAACAAAAATAATTTATCTTTTATTGATATCAATCCAGAGGAAATCTACAGCATCATAAACAAACTTGACAATGTTAATAACATATCCCCAGACGGAATCCCCAACATTTTCTTAAAAAATACAGCAATCTCATTAACCACTCCACTAACAATTATATTCAATATGTCAATTATGACAAGTAAAATTCCAACCATTTGGAAAAAGTCAATAATCCGCCCTATTCCTAAAAATAGTAACCCTAATGAACCTAAAGATTTTCGACCTATTTCTCTTCTATGCCCAACTTCTAAAATTCTAGAACGAATTATCTCTAATAAATTAACCTCATTTCTTGAAACTAACAATTACCTTCCCACTTGCCAACATGGTTTCCGTAAAAACCATTCAGTTATAACTCAACTCCTAGAAACCTATAACGACTACACATTAGCTATTGAAAATAAGAAATGTGTTGACGTTATATTCTTCGACCTTGCAAAAGCGTTTGATACTGTTCCCCACGATCGCCTTCTGAAAAAACTCTATCATCTAGGTATCACTGGCACCTTACTAAATTGGATTAAGGACTATCTGTTAAATCGAACATTTACAGTTCTTGTCGAATCAAAAAATTCTAATGAATATCCTATAACAAGCGGAGTCCCTCAAGGGTCCATCCTAGGCCCAATCTTATTCATCTCATATATTTCGGATATAATTGATTTTTGTAAAACAGACAAAGTTACTCCAAAACTATTTGCTGACGATTTAAAGGCCTATACCTGCTTTGACTTCCTAAACAAAAATCACTACTCTCCACTCCAAACATTTATCCAAACATTCTCAAAATACTGCGAAATAAATGGCCTTAAAATCGCTGTCAGCAAATGCAGTTCATTTCACATAGGGACTAAAAATCCCTTCCACCAATATTCTCTACAAAACATTAATATACCAACCATTCCACCCAACGAACCTATTCGCGATCTTGGCATTTATTTTACATCCAACTTAAAATGGGATTCTCACATTAAAATCACAACAAATAAAGCAACTAGAATTTATTATACTCTTATAAGATCTCTTAAAACTAACAATACTCAATTCCTAATTACTCTATTCAAAATATATGTCTTACCTATCCTCGAATTTGGATCTCCTATAATTAACCCTTATTTAAATAAAGACATAAACGCTTTAGAAAATGTGCAACATAAATTCTTAAAAATAATATACTTACGCTCTATGAAACACAATAACAGCCCAATATTACCTAATTATAAAGAACTCCTTGACATATTCAAACTTGAATCTCTATCGCATAGACGTTTAAAATCAAATCTCATCCTTTTCCATAATATTATTTTAGGTAAAATTAATCTAAAACACGATAATACATATAGCATCCTACCCACCACTACCAGAGGTAATCCGCATAATTTATTTATACCCTTTTGTTCAAGCACCATTCGGAAAAATTCATTTTTTATAGACATACCAAACATTTACAAAAAACTTCCAATAGAATTACAAAAATCGTCAATCGAATTGTTTCCAAAGCTCCTAAACAATATTAACCTAAACAATATTTTATCAAAGTCAAATTCCACTCTATTGTCTCCAGACCTTATACAAAACTTTTGATTTAAATTATATTTACATTTCATTTTATTTTTATCTGAATGTCACGTTTTTACGTATAAATTGAATTGAATTGAATATCTCAAAAGAACCTATTTTCACTTCCCTCACAACAATCACCCTACTCCTCTCCGCAAACTAAAATTAAACAAAACTTGAAACAATTTACATTTTAATCTTTTTTATTTGTAAAATTGTAGAGAAAATTTAAAAAGTCCAAAAATAATTTTCTTAAAAAATAACAAAATAATTTTTATTTTTATTCCTCAATATTATTATCCCCATAAAAATTCATCAATTCCTTAGTTATTGTCAATCTTTTCATTCTTTCACATAAAATCGAAATATCCTCAGTGCAAGGAACGACGGCAAACCTCACCCGTTTTTTCCTTAAAAATTATTTTAAAATTAATATTTAATTTATTAAAAAAAAATAAATAACGAGCCAAATTAGGGAAAGGAAATGTTTTGATGTTAAAAGGAGATTACTTAAAGTAGGATAGGAGAGGTAGGGGGCATTCAAGTTTTGAAAGTCTGGGACTAGCTTGAGACTTAGTTTTTAACTCCAGAAAAGCTCGGCCTTTCTCTTCATTCTCGGATACCAACTTATTCTATTTATACTTACAAAGGAGAGTGTTTTGGGTGTCCGTGGGACTTCGGGATGAAATTTGGTATACATACCCTATTTCTCCCAAAACACTCTCCTTTGTTAATCATGCAGAGCTTTGAAGTAAGTCCCCAACCAATCCTTTAAAAATCTTGGGGGCATAACATACTTTTCCTATTTGGATAACTTTATAGAAAGTATTTTTAATTTTAAATATTTTTTCATCCTTCCTCTTTCCCTAATAGGCCCATCATTTGCTTACAAATTAACTTTTCTTGGGAATGCTGCCGAATTTGAGTAAGTCCCCAACCAATCCGAATTTGAAAATATATTATTATTATTAATTTTGTTGCCAAAATTGTTGTTATTGGTGTCTTTAAAGATTTTTGGTTCATTTTTTGTTTCAATATTAACTGGGCATCTATGTATTCGATTCCTTTAAAATAAAATTTTTTTAAAATCCCCCTCCTCCCCCTCTCCACACCTTTTTTCAATGTCACTATCAATTTGATTCAAAGCAAAACTATTTTTTAAAGTCTTCATTGGGGCAACCCTCCACCCATTATACCCATCCAAGAAAACGCGAACTCGAGAACCCAATTTCTCAGCCAATTCTAAAGAATTTTTACATTCAAGTTTCTCCATATAATAAGAATAATTGTGACACCAGTCTTTGCTTGAAAAATAAAAAAATAAATTTTTGACAGTTTTTATTAATGCTGTGCTTACATAAAAGTCAGGCATGGTCATGGATACGGATACAGATAATATAAAAATGCCTGCGGATATCCGTCTGTATCCGCCGTAAATATGCGGATACGGATACAAAGATCAGTGCCTGATAAAGGTCGTTTTGCGACAGAAAATAGAATTTTTGCCTTCAGCGGTGAAAAATGGAAGAAATCTTGCTTCATAGCCTTCAAAATTTTTCAAAATTTTCGCCTGAGGCGCAAAAAATAGAAGAAATCTGACTCAAGGACACCCAAAATTCGCAAAATTTTTGAAAAAAGGGATTTGAGATTAAGAGGATCAGGAGATTAAAATTTGAAAAGTTCGGCGGAAAAGATAAAAAGTTCCATGTAGGAAGATGGAAAATGTATGAAAAAATGCCGAGTTTCGGGTAGCCCGACCCATCATGGAGGAGATATTTCTCCTTGCACTCCAAAAAACTCAAAAATTTCGCCTGCGGCGCAGAAAATGGATGAAATTAGAAGATTTATAGCTTCAAAGCCTTCCAAGATTCTCTAATTATCATATACAACGCTTAAAATTTAAAAATAGATGACCTGGGCTCCAAAAAATCATAAAAATTTTCGATTTTTTGCTTTTTTTCAAGTACAAGTAAGTACGAGGTACGAGTACGAGGTACGAGGCCAAAAATAGGGGTGATGCGAGGTACGAGTACGAGGCCTAAAATAAAGGTGGTACGAGGTACGAGTACGAGGCCAAAAAAGAGGTGGTACGAAGTACGAGTACGAGCAAATTTGAAATTTCGAAGCATGCCCTTTTCCATTATCTTTTTTGTCGCAAGACGATCGCGATTTTTATTTAAGCAGGTACTGATCGATTTTCGATAAATAGTTATTAAAAACTTATTCCCGGTTTTTAAATTTTAATTATAAACTTACTCGAATTGTTTGATTGCTTCAGAAAGCAGCCAACCTTTTTTGGACCCGCCCTGTAAAATTAATAAAAATTAAATTTAAAAAATTATTAAAATTCACATTTTTGTAGTCATCACTTGAAGCACTAATTGTTGAAATAAATTTTGAAGAAAATTCTTTGAGGATTTTATCTTTATTTAAGTCATTTTCGTTATTTGTTGAAATAAATTGGTTACTCATTTTAATTAATTTTTAAAATATGTAATTTTGTGAATTTTGTCTATAAATAAATAATTTTTATTTTAAATTTAATAAAATAAAAAATCTAAAAAACGAGTAAAAATTTCTAAAAAATTTAATAAGTTAAAAATTAGAGCCCGGCACGGGACGGGACCCCGTACGGGATTTTACGGGATCCCGTCCCGGAATCCCGGGTTTTTCGCGGAAAACGGGATTACCGGGATTCCGGGATTTACGGGATTAATCCCGCGGGATCCCGTCCCGGTCGAACTTTTGAAACCCAATCCCGTTCCGGGATCCCGGGAATGCGATTTTGCCGACCTCTATTAAAAATTATTGAATTTCTTTGGAAATTGGCATAATGTCTTTAAAATTTTAAATTTATTCTTCTTTAAAGTCCTTTAAGTGTCGAGCAGGTATCGAAGCGAAATGGTATACTGTGGAATTTCGTGTTCCTGCGTTGGCAATCCTGCACTTTTTGATTTGCTGGATTTTTCGGGATGCGGGATTTATTTATACCCCAGGATCCCGTCCTGCAAGGATTTTGTTAATAGTATGGATGAGCTCCCTTTTTAGTTTCCCTGATTTTCAGTTTTTGCTTGGTATATGTATATCATTCGAAAGAGCTCTTCGAGCTGGGCCGAATGATACCTAGTTCGGCTAGATTTGAGGATTCTCAACAAAATTATGAAGCTAAATCCTCGCTTAAAACTTCTTTTTGTCGCTGCAAGTTATTGAAACAAACGATCATAACTATGTTGACTTAGTCAGATTTCATTGATCTTAGTGCGATCCAACTCAGCTCGAAGAGCTCTTTCGAATGATCGAATGATATGTATATTTATAATTTGACATAGAAAGAGAAAAAAATGAAAATATAGAGGGGAAAAAGGAGGGTATCGTCCAGACTATTACCAAGATTTTTAGAAAAATCCAGCTTGCATCAATGAAATACTCGTTTTCGTTTAATTTTATTTTAAATTTATACACATTCAAACAAAATTTCCAATTTAATTAAATACACCCATTTATTTGAAATTGCCACTTTTTTCAATTTAAAAATTTAAAAAAATGTAAAAGTCAACATATTTTTAATAATTATTTTGCTTTTTCTTTAAATTTTTATTTATCTTTTTTATTAATTAAATTATTCTTTCCCATCTTTAAATTTCCATTAGACATAATTGGATCTACAATTATCCTCTTTTTGTAATTTTTGTCTTTAGGCGAAATGTAAGCATTGTAAAAGAATTGTCCAAATAAATATAAATAAGATAAATACATTAAAGCACCCAATGTGAGTACATTCCAACTAAAAATTTTTTAAATTTTCTTAAATTAATTTTTTTCTACCTAGCATCACAACGTATATTATTAGCTGATTTAATTCTCAATAATTGAACAAAAATATAGCAAGAGATAACAAATTGCAATATTTGTATACTTGTAATAAACTTTGCAAAAAGTCGGGGTGTTTTTACTTTTAAGGCTTGAAGGCCAAAATAACTTTGAAAAAAATTTTTTTCTAAATTATTTATTAAAAGAAACTCACAAATACATAATTGTATGCACAGTTAAATTTAATGCCAAACTCCAACGGCACCAAGCCTGTCTTTCAGCATAAGTAATTGTTGCATAAATAAAAGTAAGTGCATGGTGATACCAATGGAGGAAAATTACTGGTCTTTTACGTAGAATCTTTTTAAAAAGAACTTTTCGAAATTAAAAAAATTTAAATAAACCAACCAAGAAAAGTGTATCACCCAATTCAGGTGCTTTACTCATTACAAACATCCATCCCCAAAATCCAGTAATTGGATCAGTATAATAATTAGCATTATCACAATAAGAACCTTTTAATTATATATTAATTAATTTTTTATTATAAATTAATGAATTTGCCCGTTAAATTAGCCCCTATATAGCGACACCCCTATATGATCATATATTGATGACCTTATATTCGTATGATCAACATTAATATTATTAGTTCAAAGCTAGATTCAAGCCTAGACAGTGTCTGGCGTGAGAATAAATCCCGTACGGGATTTTAGTGGATGTTACATACGTGAGATATTAAAAAAAGTTTTTGGCATTATTCCCACGAAAACAAAATAATTTTTATAAATTCCCACCAATAAATCCTCGACGTTCAATAACATGTAATAATTCGGGCAGTAAACACCAAGCAGCATAACCACTAAAAAAAGAAAATCCAAAATTCCAAAGGGCTAAAACAATATTCATTGTTCCATTATCAACGGCTCTCCTTGTAGCCATCCATTTTTGACCAAAATAAACAATACATAAATATACAAGAGTTAATTTGTAGGCAAAAGGTACCCAAATGTTTCTAAATATTTTATAAAAATATTTTTTAAATATTAAAAAATTTCTAAAGGAGGGGCGTAAAAATAGGAAAAATAATAAGAATGAAAATTTGCATAGTAGACCTTCCCGCTCAGACTAAGGTTGGCGGATAATTGGAAATCTTCGGATATCCGGATCCGATATGATTAATATTTTTTAAATTATTCTCAAAGGTTCCGCCCCAAGTATGCCCTTCCCCAATAAAATATTCTCTCACTGCATAAATTTTGTAGTCCTCTCCAAGTCCCATGCAGGGGAAAAAAGTACTTCAGCTATTTTAATATCAGTATGGTTGTTTTTAACATCAATCAACGTTTGATGCATTAAAGTATCCATAAAAATACAAAGAAATATTTGTAATTATTAAAATGGCAATTAGTAACGTCAAGTAGGAATTTTGAATTATTTTTAAAAAAACCTTAATAATTTTTTAAATTAATTTAAGTGGAATTAGACAGAAAAAATAAATATATTTAATTATAAATGTTGCCTTTTTTTAATTAGAAAATATTTTTTTAAAAATTAGGGGTGATAATAAAATCGAACGATCTAAACTCATAAAAGATCAATAAATTATTTAAATGATTGACAGTTAAGAGCCCCCTCAAAGACTCATAGTAACTAATTATTTAACAATTAAACGTTTAAAAGCCCCAAAATTGTTTCCTTGTAGTAAAAATAAATATTTAAAAACTCCTAAATAAAAATGAAAGTTTCTTTAAATTTTTAATGTTAGAAAATTCCCCCTTCTCATTTTCTTGCAAATATCAGACCATCAATCGACTTTTAATTTAAAAGAAACAATATTAATTTCACGTGCACCCACCAAATACTTAAAAAGGGAAAGAAAAATGGAAATCTTTCTTTAATTAATTTGAATTTTTGATTTGTGTAAAGGACGTTAGGAAAATTTGAAAAATGTTTTTTTTCTATAATTGGTAATTTAAAGTAAATTAATTTTAAGTTTGTTAAGTTTGCATATTTTTAATAATTAATCAAAATTAAAAACATTTAAATTCTAATTTTTTAATCCTAATTTTTTTTCAAAAAATAAACAAAATCAAAAACAATTTAAATTAATATTTTTTACTTTCTGTCCCAGATTCTATATTATTTGGTAAATCTGGAAGCACATCTTCAGGCAAATCGACAACCTGTTTATTTCCAAATTTTGGTGGTCCTATTAACCTTTTTACTTAAAAAATTAATTTCTAAAAAAATATTTTTTAATATAAAATTACCATCTTCATAATTTAAAGTTTCACGTTCTAAAAGAGCCTTTGCTATCTGAAAATATATTCAATACAAGTTTTAAAAAATTAAAATTTGCATACCACTTCTAATTTGTCTTTGTTTTCTTTTAAAAGATTTTCTGTTGAATAATAAGCATCTGCAACTAATTTAGCAATCTCCTAAAAAAGAAAATTTTTATTTTTATAATATATGGGATTTTTTGAGAGTTATGTATAGTAATGAAAGAACAATATATTGTCTTGTGAGAAATAGAGCCTAAGTGATATAATTATTCGAAAAATTGCTAAAAGAGTTTTAATTTCAATTAAATTAAATTTTAATTAAATTTCAATTTTTAACAACCTGATCAATCATATTTCCCAATTTTTTACTATAAGGCTTTTCAGTAAAGTCAGCACTTCGAAGGTCAGCATCTGCACCAGGAAAGAAACTTATCGGACCAATTAATTCACTCATTCCATACCATTTAATCATTGCTTGGGCCTTAAAAAATTAAATAAAATTTAAAAAACAACCAAAAATTTCTTTACTTGTTTGGTAACTTTTTCCAAATCATTTTGTGCTCCAGTTGTTATTTTACCAAAAATAACATTTTCTGCTACCCTACCACCAAGCATCATACACATTCGATCGAATAACTTTAAAATTAAATAAAATTTAATAATTAAATTATAGCTTTCCCCTCCCCAAAAATTCCAGTTTTTCATTTTTAAATTAATTTAAATGGAAAAAAATGAGCTGAATTAATAAAACATTTAAAAAACCTCTTCTTTAGTAAACAATTTTCGATCCTTTGGAGAATATTGAGCAAAACCCAGAGCTGCACTCGTTCTCGGAATTATTGTTACCTTAAAAATTTAAATTTATTTAAAACTAACAAAAATATTTTGTTTACTCTCAAAAGTGCTTCAGTGTGTTCCAAAAGCCAGCCAACCAAAGCATGTCCTGATTCGTGAAATGCAACAATTTCGCGTTCTTCTTTAATTAAAACTCGACTTCGTTTTTCTGGTCCTATAAAATTTTTTTATTAAAATATTTAATTTTCTCAAAAACCTGCAACAATTTTTTGTAAAGCAAAATCAATATCAGCAATTTTTACCATTTTCTTTTGTGCTGTCGCTGCATGAATTGCTGCCTCATTTACAACATTTTTGATATCAGCACCTAAAAAAATTTATTTAAAATTTAAAAGATAGTAAATATTTACCACTAAAGCCAGGTGTCATTTGTGCTAAACGTTGACTTACACCAGTTAATAAATTTTCTTTTTTAATTTTTTGTAAATATAAATCGAATAATTCTTTCCGTTCAAGTAATGTTGGTAAATCAATGGTTATGTGTCTGTCAAATCTGCCTGGGCGAAGAAGAGCCTGAATTTTTAAGCAAAAAATTTCTAAAATAAGTAAAATCCCTCAAAAAGGGAGTCGATTAAATGGTTTTGGCCTCAATCCAAAAAAATTGGAGAATGAGTCTTGTCCAAACTCTCCAAACCCAAACTTTCCTCCTAATTCTAGTCTATTTACTAGTTAAAGAAAGGATTATACCTTATCCAACATATCCACTCTATTTGTACTTCCAACAACCACAACACCTTTATTCGAATCCATTCCATCCATTTCAACAAGTAATTGATTTAATGTTTGTTCCATTTCGTCATTACCAGAACTTCCAAAAATATTTTCTAAAAATTAAAAAATGTAAAAAAACAAACTGATTCTGACGTTTCCTTCCGAGTGCATCAATTTCATCAATATAACTTTAAATAAAAAATAATTTAAAATATTTACTTTATTAACCACAAATTATAAAATATCTCACATTATGCATGGTGCACTTGATTTTGCCTTCTTAAAAAGTTGTCTGACTCGTGAAGCGCCCAATCCACCAATCATTTCTACAAATTCTGTTCCATTTACACTAAAAAATAATTGTTAATAGAAAAATATTTCAAATAAAATACTTGATAAAAGGAACACTAGATTCTGCAGCTAAAGCTTTTGCAAGTAAAGTTTTTCCACATCCCGGCGGTCCAGTAAGTAAAGCACCTAAAAATAAAATTATTTAAAAAAAATTCAAAGAAACCTTTAGGTAATCTAGCCCCAAGTTGAACATATTTTTGTGGTTTACGAAGATAATCAACAATTTCCATAACTTCACGCTTTGCTTCATGTAAGCCAGCAACATCACGAAATTTAATTTTGAGGTTTTTCTTCCCTTCTTTAGATGCCGGGTCGACAATTCGGATACGTTGACCAATTGAGAACTTTTTAAATTTTTTTATTAAATTAAGTTTTAGATAAATAATTTAAAAAGAAACGCAATAAGAGAAAATAATACTATTTTGGTCCAAACAAAGGAATTTTCGAGAAGAAATGAGTGAGAAAATTTTAGTACATAATAATAGAAAAACAAAATATTTTTCCCATTTTTTATTCCCAATCCCAATATTATTTAAATCCTTACCATCTCTTTTATGTCAATCTTCCTTGATAAGCGAAATGTAAGAAAAAGTGGCACACTGATCATAATACCAAACAAAATGATAGGTATTCTAAAAATTAGAAGAAATTTTAAAATTGAAAAAATTCCCCAAAATAAAATCAATTAAAAAATGAAAGTTAAATTTTATAGCACCTAAACGCAATGAAATTCAAAAAATTTTCATTTGCAGAGCTAAAAAGTAAGTACACGAAAAATATAATAAAATAACCCTTAATCAACTCATTCCTTAAGGGTAAAAAAATCAAAAAGAAACAATTTATAAAAAAACTTACAAATAAGAAAAAGCACTAGGCTTATAAAAAGAAATATCCACCCAACGTTCAGGAGGTATATTTAGCTCAATTTCTTTATTTCTCAACTGTTCGGTAAATTTGCGTAGATCGGGAACATGAAGAACGCCAACTTGGGTATTCTGGATCTTAAAATAAATACCCCGCTAACACCTCTATTTGGGTGTCAGATTAATTTTCTTTTTTTAGTGTCAATCACTTTTTTCTTCACACAGGTAAAAGGCAAGTGTGAGGAATGAAAAAATAGACGGCAATGGCAAAAATTAACATTTATATAATAATTAAGAAAATTTACCATTCCGAGGCAGGAAAAATAAAATGGGAAATTAATCTGAAACTCAAATAGGGTGGGGGTATTAATAAAATACTGGTATCCTTTAAAAAAATAATTTTTCTAAAAATAAACAAACATGAGTTCCAGAGAAAGAAACTGGATAAACAAATGCTCTTCCGATTTCAGGTTTTGATTGTTTATTTGATTTTGAATAATACTTTGGCACTAGAAGAATGTTAGATACCTTTAAAGTTTAAAATAAACAAGGGAAACCATTTATAGGGCGTATCTGTGGGTCGGTTTCAGGGGGGCTAACATTGGGTGTGCGCCAAAATGTTAGCGTTTACCTCGGCGTTCCGGGCGCAAATTTTTTTTAACTATATTTTTAATTTTTAAAGCGCCGTAGGCAAAAATTTTTTAAATTTAGGAGGTGTGGGCGAAACTTTTTTTCCTAATTTTTCCCCCATTTCGGGGAGGGGGGCTCTAGTCCCTGGATACGCCCTTGTCATCTATCCAAATTTATATTAAAATATTTCTAAAAAAACATACTTGTCCAGAACTTAATCTTCTCATAAATTGATCCATATCCATTAAATATGAATTCGTTGTGTGATTCAAAAAGTTTTTAATTTTGCTTAAATATATAAATTAACCAGAATTAGAAAAAATTAATTACTTTAAAACATAAAGAATCAAAAGGATAAGAGCAGAAAATTGAATAAATGGCACAAATTTAAATTGATCAAATAGCTAAATAAAAAAATTTAAAAAATTTTTATTTAAAATATTAATGGGGACAACTTAATCAGAAACAGAGCGCCCACCCCAGAATGGGGGAAATAGGCTAGGATAAAAAAATTTTGCCTAAAGAATTATATTGTAATAAAAATAATTTTTATCGACGGATAAACCGTTGAAGAGAAAAGTCGATAAATTCCACTGATAAAATAGAAAAATTAAATTCTGGATTTTTTTTATATTTAGAAAGTAAAGAAATCTATCGTATTCATAGATTAAGTTTAATTAATTTACTTTAAAAAATTTAAACAAAAAACCTTATCAACTTCATTAAACATTTTATTTGCCATTTCTTTTCCAACCAGCTTTTCCATTCTTTGTTTTAATTCTTTTTCAGCATCTTTCCTATTCTTATCAATTTCAGCCTTAGCCTTTTCAAAATCATTTTCTTTTCCGTTTTGTTCTTTAAATTCTTCAAAAAACACTTTTTATTTAAAAAATCCCTTTTTACAAACCTTTATTTTGATTTTCATTTATTTGATTCGCAGACCTATTCGAAGATTCATAGCTTCTAACTGGCCTAGAAGATTTTGGATGAGGAACTCTTCGAGCTATTCAAAAGTAATTTTAAAAATTAAATCCGAGAGATACCATAAAGAAAATATTTCTCCAAAAAACATTTTTCACACAATTTATTTGTAATAATTGATAGATTTGTAGTCAAATTATTAGGTGAATATTTCTGAAAAAAATTTTATATTTTTTTGAACAAAAAAATTTTTTTTAATTTTTTGTTTAAAATTTGTCAAAAAAATTTATAAATATTTTTATAATTAATTTAAATAAAAACCTTGTAAAGAGGCAAAATAAGCCTTTCATTATAATTACAAAATTTGAAAAATAAAGAAGTAAATCGGAAGATTTTTGTTTGCTGACAATAACATTTGAGAAAATTAGTTTTAGCAATTAACTTTAACATTGAAATTTAATCTAAAATTAATTCAAATCGTTGTTGGGAGAGAATTTATCCCTTAAAATTTATACAAATTTTTGATAAAAAAATTTATGAAAGAACGGACAGGTCCACTTTGACGCAACAGTTTTGGCGTAGGCAACTATTGTAAAATTTTATTTTCTTTGTTTTACTGAACAATTAAATATAAGCCGATCGTTAACTATATTTTTATTTAAATTTTAAATAAAAATTTATTTAAATTACATAGTAGGTAAAATTTGAAAAATTTGTACATAATTTTTTTAAAGTTTGATATAAGAATTTACTGTACAATTAACTAAATCAAGCTTCAATTCTGAATATTTTTAGTAAATTCTCAAGTAACCAAACGTCTATAAGGATTTGAGGGGATCTTCCTCTCTTCTGAAGGCGGTGCTCGTCCAGGAGGTGTGGCTGGTCGATGAATTGCCAAATCTGTTTATTTTTATAAAATAAATTTATGATAAAATTCTACCTGCTCCAAAATCTACATTTGGCGGTCCAGCTTTGAAGGGTTGCATTTGTGCACCTGAATTTTCATTTCCTGGAGGTTTTTGCCCTTCATAAAGAGGCGAAAGTGGAGGTGCTTTTTCATATGTTGGGGCAGGTGGAGGAGCATTTTCATATGAGGGGGAAGGTGTTGATTGTTTTGATGGTTGTGGAGGTGCTTCGTATTGAGGCGGAGCAAGCTTTGGTTGGCTCACCTCATAAGCTTTTTGCACTCCAGCAGATGGACGAGTAGCTGAAGGTCCATGAGTGCGAGGAGGGCATGGACAATACTTAGATTATTATAAAATATTTAGTTATTTAACTACCTGAGCATCCTCTCCTGGTTCTCCTGTTGCTCCTTGTTGTCCAGGTTGTCCATCTGCTCCTGGGGCACCAATTGATCCAGGAGGACCACTTTCTCCAGGTGGACCTTAAAGGTAAATAAATATCCAAAACGAATCCTCTTGCGAGTACCATCATTTCCACGTTGTCCATCTGTTCCTGGGTAGCCATCAGGTCCTTTCGGACCACTTGGGCCAAGTTCACCTTTAGGTCCTGGAGGCCCCTTTTGCCCTCTGATTCCATCACGACCTGGCGGCCCAACATCGCCCAATTTTCCAGGTTTGCCTGCCTCACCTTAGTTTTACCAAATAAGTAGTAATCATCAAAATAAGCTATTTAGCTAAGTACTCACCAGGAATTCCTGGATTTCCAGGATAACCAGCCCTTCCATCTTCACCCTTTCGGCCAGGCGGTCCAGGTAGTCCGTCAGTTCCTGGTACCCCAGTCTCGCCAGGTAATCCTCGAAGAACAAAATATTCATTAAAACGATCATAATTCAAACTTACCAGGAGGTCCAGTTGGTCCATGAGGACAGACTCTACATCCAGCGCTCTTAAAGTAATCAAGTATCAGTTGTATATAATAACCTAAAAACTAACAGTATCAATAGTTACTGGAGGAGCTACTCCAGGTAATCCAGGTGCTCCAGGTTGGCCTCTAGCTCCTGGAAATCCATCTTCGCCTGGTTTTCCAGCTGGACCAGGAGGTCCTGGCGGACATAAATTGAGTGCATTACAAACTTTATTTAGAATTTTCCAAAAGTTTTGTTCAAGTAAAAGTACCACAAGTTGGTCCCTGAACATAAGCATCTTGTTTGGCATAAGTATTATGTAAAGGATATGCTTTAGGTAATTCTCCTCCTCCCCCTTGTTCATAAGCTTGTCTACGTTCTCTAAACAGTAAATGTGCAGAAGGTAAAGCTGCTTTTACATGTTGTAATTTATTCCATCCAGAATCAGCCAAAACACGAAATTCCTTAGAATCAATTCTTAATTGCTCATTAATTTTGACAATTTTTGAAATTAATATTGGCATATAGAGGCAGAGTGTTGCTATAGAACATATAGAGCTAATTATTGCCAAAATTCCAGCATTATTTGCAGATATTAATTGTTGGAATTTCATTTAAATTTAATGTTTTTTTAAATAATTAATGGAGTTATAAAATCTGACTCTAAAGTTACTAAATCAAACTGAAACCTTTGGACCTTTGTTGGGCTTGTTCGAAGGGTACAAAAAACAATTTTTAAATTAAATTTTTTAATATGTATGAATTAAGCGATTTTCAATAATTTTCATTTAAATAAAAATATATTAGCAAATTATTTTTATTTATTTGCTATAAGTACTTTCAAATCAAAAAATATTAACTAAATTTAGAAAATAGTATATTAATTATCAAAATAATATTGCACAAATATTAAAAAAATGATTTTTCCCTCCAATGTTAGTTATAAAAAATCTTTTTAAAAATCATCCTCATTTTCTCACAATAAAACCGGCTTAATCTTTTTTTTGTTTTCAAGGTGTGACGGACGGACACTAAAGAAATTAAGTGAATAAAAAAGAAGAGACACTTACACATATACACAAAAATATCTTAATTGGCACTTATTAATAAATATTTATGTATATTAAATAAATATTTAATTTAAAGAATTTAAAAAAGGAATAGAGAATTAATATACAAAATTTTGTAAATTACATATACCTATTAATATTTATATGGAAGTAATTCAGAAATTTTTTGTATTTTTAAGGCTTGGAAAAACTATGTTTTTTGATTTTTATGAACTAAGTCAATAAAAATTTTTGACTCGGTAAAGAAAAGATTAATCAAAATATTACTATAATTTATTTTTATTTAATAAAATGAAAATTATTATTGGAAAATTATTAAATATAATAAAAGATAATTTAGAAATAAATTTAATTAAAAATCATTGATAGAGTTTTAATTGATCGAATTTTTTAAATCAAAATCTTTTTTTATAATTTTACTAAACTCTAATTATTGTTTTCTAGGCTCATGCAGAGTTGTTGCACAGTGATGCTCAAAGCATAATTTTTTCATCATGTTTGTTCATCAAAATAAAATTATTTACAAAATTATTTACTTAATTTAAACAATCTTTGGATGAGAAAATTGTTTGTATTCCAATTGACAATTGCAACATTTTTGTATTTATTTGATCAATTTTTGGATGTAAATCTGTTTCTAATTTTAATATTTGGTATCCCTATTTTATTTAAAATATCAACAAAAGTTCGGGCCGAGTAGCTCTATTAATTATCCACAGTGGAAGTGGGGGGTCTCTTATCAATCGCAAATCTAACTTCAGAAAAAGTTCCAAATTATATGTATCTCACACAATTAAAACATTCCGGTCAGAAAATATTTTTGATTTTGTCTTCACGATTTTTCGAAAAAAATGTTTAAATGGAAATTATTAAGAAATGATAAATTTATTTTAATTTATCATCATTCAAATAAATGCTAAATTATTATATATAAATAAAAGCTCGTTATTATTATGTCCACCAAGTGAGTTTTTTGCTTAATATTTTAAATAAATAATTAATTAATTAGGTAACTAGACTACATTAAACCTTATTTTTTATATAAAATATCTACAAAAACCCCCCGATTATCCACAAAAAAAACTTTTTTAATCCGAAATATTTATTATTGAATAATATACTGGAACTAGATTTTTTAACATTTCTTGTTTTTAATTATCACAAAAAAATATTTTTTTCTTTGCTATAAATGCTAATATTTATTTCTTGTTTAATTAACAAATTATTTCATTTTATAAATTTGTATTTTATCCAAAACAGAAATATGTTTCTTGGCCAAATTTATTCTCTCATTCCTTTAATATCTTCGAAGGTTCTGAAGACATTATTTTAAACAGAACAAAATAAACAAATATCCAAACAAATATAAGCATCTTAAACTTTTTACTTTAAAATTAAATTTATAATTTAAAAATCCCTTTAATTTTTTTGAAAACTTCCTAAGTTTAAGTAATTAATTTTTAAATTTAATTTAAAATTATTTTTATGAAAATGAAAATTTCAATATTTTATTTATCTATTCTTTTGGTAATCTTTGCGGATCAAACATTAGGAGATATACCAATAGTACATTGGGAATGGCGTGATCTTGTTTGCAAAACAGGAGATAAAGGTATAGGTTTTTATATATTTGTAGATTTTTTTACTGTTTTGTTTTGGAAATTCCCTATGGATATGCATGCAATTGGTTAAGTGTTAATTTCATTTTACTTTCCGTGATGAAAGTCTTTATTTTGATGGAAAATTGTATAATTTTTTTCTTCATTTCTTTTGTGAGGAATGAAATTTGTTGTAACAAAATTTTTCTCTCCTATTAAAAATGAAGGACTAAAAAATGTCAATATAATCACTTTACGAGACAAACAATTTAAAATTAAATTATCTTTTAATTAAAAATTTTAAGAACTTCCTGGTGACAAAATATCAGAAAAGCCAGCTGAATGCACCATTGGATTAAGAGAAAAGGAAAGAGACACAAACCGTCGTTTAGCTCCAAAAGGAGCTGGATGTTTTGATGTAAAATAAAAATAAAAAAATAATTATTTTTATTCCAAAAACATTTAAAGGAAATAGTTAACGGGACAACAAGAACTTATTGCGATGTTTTATGTCCTAATGCGGATACTGTTTATTTAATAAAAAGAGATCCTCAAGTACACCGTTTTTGTTTTGTATTTTACACTCACAAATTGGAACGTCGCGGCAATAATTGGTTCTTATGGCGTCAAGACAAGTTTGTGTTCTTTTTAATTTAATTATTAAGCCTAATGTTAAAAGTAAGATTAGAAAAAATAAGTAATACGCCCAATTTGGGCCTTCAGGTTCAGTGAGTTGAAAATAAAGTCTGATGAGGAAATATTAATAGAAATTACGCTGCCCATAAATGAATGAAGGCTTGAAGAAATTTATTATTTAAAAACAATAAGGGGAGATAAATTTAAAAAACTTTAAAATAGGAGATTTAAGGAACAAAGGACTGCCTAATTAATTAGAAGGGAAAAGGGTGAAAGTATTAAAAATATAATTAGTTCCTTTCCTTTCTGCAATTATTTTAAAAAATTTAATTTTAGATGCCGCCATTCACAAATTACATTTACAATTCGTTGTGAATTTTTATTTAGCCGTAATGAAACTCCGTCAGATATTGAATTATTTAATTCTCTTGTTAGACGTAATTAATTTAGAAGGAATTGAAAGGAATTAATATTTAATAATTAAAGGAGTATTTAAATCTTTAAATTATTTGTAGAAAAAAACAATAAATTATTTTAAACTCTTTTTCAACTTTTCTAATTAATGTTTACTGAAATAAAGCAATATAAGCTTTCTTTTTGAATACCCTCTAAAGAGTTGTGATCTAGATTGGGGCTTTATTTTAGCTTTAGCCTCATTTAATTTAAAACCCAAAAACTCCAAATTTCTCTTCAAAATAAAACCTTTTTATATAAATTCCCCCAAAAAAATAATTAAAATTTATTTTAAAACAATTTAAGTAGGATTTGTAAGAAGACATTCTAAATCGGTAACAATAAGAGGTGGAGTTCCAACAACCCATTGTCCCTGTGCATTACAAGTGCCAGGGAATGTTGTACTTAAAGAACCAACAGTTAAGAAATTAACTGAATTTGCAACAATTGCTGCATTTAATTGTAATGTTGGGTCTGGTTCTCTTAAATAAATTATAAAAATTCTTTAAATTTATTTTTAAGAAACTAACGAGCAATTCATCACAACATTAGTTGGACAATTAATATTATCATAAGTGAAAGTCAAAATTCCATCAGCAAATTGGGTACTATTTGAAATTGTTTGGGAAAGAAGTGGACAACAAGCTTATATTTTAAATAATTTTGAATTTAAATTTAAATACTTGTTGGTTGTCCACCAGGAACTGTAGACACACACGCCCTTCCTGGAAGGAATGAAGACGAAAGAAATAAAATAAACAAAATTACTGCAGCTAAGATTGTGCTCTAAAATATTTTAAATTCTAATCTAAAAGTACTTTTAGAGTGGGCTGAAAGATTGTACTTCCTTCTGAGATGTGTCTTAAATAAGGGATATGCTAAGGCAACCCTCTAGAGCTTCGCCGGAAATTCCGGTTCCGGCCAAATTTGCGGTTCCGGCGAATCAAAACAACCCTCCCTCTCTCCCTAAGTTACTAACCGGATTAAAAATTTGTGTCCAACATATGGTTCATACATATTTTTAGATACCTCTTGAACGAGGTACTTTATTTTAAGATAATTTGGGAATGAGGTTCGACTGTATAATAAGGGATATGCTTGTGTTAAGTACCTGTATGCATAACATTTCCTTAAATCTAAATCTTGGAGTTTCTGATAATAACATAATAATATATAAATTATTGCTGTTCAAAAGAAATATTTTTATTAAAAATCTTCTAACTATCAAAATTTTAAAATAACATAAGAATTAATTATTAATGATTTTTAGTTTAAAAAATCAAAAATAATATTTTACACTTGTATTTGCTTGAGAAAGATTTACTAAGGAACGTTGAGGTTATTTTAAAAAAAAACTATATAATAACTTAAATGTCTTCGTAATACTTTCCGTAAGCACTTTCGATCTCGGGTTTCCTCCTTTGAAAAAGTAAAAATAGGAGAGAATTTATGCAGATAGTTTATATTTTTTGTAAATTCTCTTCAGGATTACGGAAGAATAATTAGCCTTCCCCTTACTCAACGTCAATTAATATGTACTCTCATTTTCAGTACTTTTTTAAATGACGGTTTCTCGAAAATTTTTGAAGGATAAAAAACATTAAATAGAAAAATCTTTAATCAACTAGTGACATTTTATATTATTAGAAACTATTAGAAAGCAAAAATGTAATTAAGATCTTAATCCACATTCAATTTAGATATTTGGATAAACAAACCCTTAATTTTCAAATTTTTGAGAAAAAACTAAATAAAATCAAAGAAGTAAACTATGTATCATATAGTTAATGTATCTAATATATACTTAATATTGCCAAAATTTCAAGAAAATTTTAAAACCTTAACAATTTAAAACCTTAAAACCGCCTTGATATACAAAAAAATCAAGGCATTTTTGTAATTTTTTAACACAAATTAGAATAAAATCTTTTATAAAAAACAACAAAATAAATTAACAAAAAATTCAAAAAATTAAGAATTTCAATAATAAATTTAAAAAAATTAATTTTTGAAATTTTTAGAATGTTTATTTTCCACACTTCTAATTTTATTTAATGATAAGATATTTAATAATTTTCCAATCGGTTCTTCGTAATCCTCATAATTCTCTAAATTTCTATCAACAAATACTAATTGTTCTCTTATTTCCCAGCCTTTTTTTCTTAAAAATCTTTTTGTATATTTACGTAAAACTTTCTTCTTAACGATAAATTTATCAATCTTTTTTAGAATAAATGCAATTAGTTCAAGACGTACTAAAAATTAAAAATTAGTAAAATAAAAATAAGATATTTGTATCTCAGCAGAGGTAGGTCGGAATTTCGAGGCAAATGTCCAGTTGATGTCCTACCTGTCCGCAAACTGGAATGCGTACTTTTCTTCTCTTTTCTTGCATTTTTCCCTCTATGAGTGGCGCCCGATTTTTCCTTTTCTGCTATAGTATACTTTTTGGCACTTAGAGAGATTTTTTCTTTGTTTCGATCTCAAGATCTTTATCGTCAAAAAGGGAATCTAGAATTTTTGTTGTGAAGTATTATTAGTAGGACAAAGAAGGGACATATTCAATTTTATTGATCAAAGTTATGTTCACACTTTATAAGTATTAATTATTAATTCTTTATTTTCATTGTTATAATTATTTTCCTCCTTTTTTTTCTAAGTGCCAAAAAGTATACTATAGCAGAAAAGGAACAATCGGGCGCCGCTCATAGAGGGAAAAATGCAAGAAAAGGGAAGAAAAGTACGCATCCCATTTTGCGGACAGGTAGGACATCAACTGGACATTTGCCGAATTTCGATTTCCGAAAAAAATTTTGCTTACTGATTTCGACTTTTTGAGCCAGTTCCGAGTTCCGACACCTCTAACTGTTCCGACCAACTTATGATTCTCAGGAAAATTTTTGCCAAGGTGTTATGTCCTAGGTTAGCGGTCTTACCTAGTGACAAACAGAATAACACAGGAATAGAATATAACGTTTATCCGAATGGTAAATACTACAATAATGAAGGTGGCAAAAGGCAAGAATGATGAAGGACAGACGGCGCCGGTCGACCCAGGTGTCGACCAAGACTGATCGCTAACGACTCCTTTTATACTAGACCCACACATACCTAACATCTCCCTCCTTTAAAAAGTTAGGGACTAACTTGAATAATTTGCTACTGAATAGAATTGTTAGGTTGGGTCCGAATTGAATAATATTTCTACTCGAATAATGCCTGACACCGCCTTGAATACAATGGGACAAAAATTACAAACAGTGGGGGAAAACAAAACAAAAAATTTACAACAAACAAAAATATCACAATTATCACAAATGTCCCAAAAACCTCTCATCAAACATCTAACTTCTAATCATCAAATCAAGCAGAGGCACATCGAATAATCGGAATAAACCCAACTCTGGGTAGGGATTTTCACTAATTCCCTGAATAATACTGCCCTAATTTCTAATACTTGGGCGAAAACTAAAATGGCATTTTGACTAAATCTCATTTGAATAATCTCATTATCTTTTGAATAACCGAATAATTTCTCTATCAAACTGAATAATGCCATAAGAATATTTAAACTTTCTAAAGAATTCATCAATGGAGCGAATACCAAATTTTATCTACAACTTCTCTGGAGCTACTAAATAATTGACTCAGACTTGAATAATACTTGACCGGCTTACGTCCACTTGACCGACTTACTCATTGCGGCCTTGAATAATCAAATAATCGGGACTTACATCTTGCCCATGACTGCGGTTCCTCATATAATCAAAATACTGAATACAACTTTCTCCTCCACTCTGCTCCTGATGATCAAGCTCGAATTCATCGAATAATCTTTCAACAAAATACTAAACTTCTGGACCGAATAATTACAACTCTTTTTTCAAACTCGAATTGGTCCGACTAAAATTGACTAAGGTTTGCTAGGCCTTGTCGAATAGATGAATTCGATCGGCTTGAATGCCTGCCACACTTCAACTGACGCCGTACCCTCTGAATAAGAATCTGATGTGCTCTGCAAATCTCCGAATACTGTCCGAATCCTTCCCCAGAATTTGAATAATTCGAATAGTCCGAATTGTGAATCAAAGGATTCACTACTGCGACCGCGCCACTGTTATGTCCTAGGTAGCGGTCTTACCTAGTGACAAACAGACTAACACAAGAATAGAATATGACGTTTATCCGAATGGTAAATACTACAATAATGAAGGTGGCAAAAGGCAAGAATGATGAAGGACAGACGGCGCCGGTCGACCCAGGTGTCGACCAAGACTGATCGCTAACGACTCCTTTTATACTAGACCCACACATACCTAACACAAGGTTAGTAAGTTTTGGAAAAATTAGTCTGATTCTGAATCCTGATCTAACCCACTTAGTTTGGGTACAGGAAAATAAGGAAATAGTTAATGATCAGTCTTATCTTCGATCACAAATAAATAAGCATTTTTAGTGTTTTTTTGTTTTTATTCATCAAGATTAAATTTAGTTAAATTTATATATTTTCATACCACAAATCAGGTCCTGTTCAAGAGGCAACATTTTAAATAGACCAAGTCTACGTCCAATAAATTGTAAATATCTGGCACACCTCAGAAATTTTTTGACGGGAACTCTAAAGAGTTTATTTTCTTCATCAAATCTATAAAAAAATCATCGAAAGATAATCTATTAATTTTTAAAATAAATTTACTTTTCTTTAATTTGTTCTCCATCAATATTTCGAATTTTATCAATTTGTTGTTTTTCCAAAAAATCTTTTAAAATTAAAATAAATTCAGATAATTGTTGTGGAGATTCAAAATCTTTATTTCCTTTGCCTTTAGTTTTATAAATTTTTGCTTTTGAAAGAAGACATGTATCCTCAAGTATTACTTCTCTTAATATTTCTCTTATAGTTTCGGCTTGAGTACGTTCTTTTACAGCACGAAATTCGTTTCTAAGTTTTTCCCTTTTTAATAAAAAAATTAAGAAAATTTATTAATTGAAGAGAGGTAGAGGAGGCTAATAGAAGTAACTTCCCCCTGGAAAATAAAATTTGATTTGTTCCTAAAAATTGGAGAGATATAAAAATAATTTTAAAATAACTAAATAAACATCAATTTAAGTAGTTGAACAAAAAATTTGAAATTAAATTTACCATTTTTCTTTAATTTGAGAAGGCGATCTAGAAGGCAAATTTATTTCTTTATCATCCCAATTAACATTTTCATCAAGATTTGCATATTTTGGGATAATTGCGACCAAAACTGGATTTCGAGTTAAATGATCAGCCAAATAATCTGTTTAAAAGGAAATTAAATTTTTTAACAAATTAAAGAATTTATTTTAATTCCAAAATACTTTAAAAATTGACAATAAAAATTTTTTAATGAATTAAAGAATTTATTTTAAATTCCAAAATAGACTTTAAAAATTATCAATAAACTTTTTTAAAACCAAACTATAAAGACGAGCAATTTCAACCTTTGACCACTCCGATGAAGATCCTATTCAAAAAAAATAAAAATTATTTAGTAAATATTAGAAAATAAATAAAAACCACAATTTCCATCAGAATTTTCTTTTCCAATTAATTTGTAATAACGAAGATAACAAGCATAACGAGGATGCATTAATTCATTTCCAATATATTCCCAACAATTTCCAACTTCTTTGTAAAGCTCTAATAATCTTCTATCATCTTCAGGTGTCCATTTTCTTTAAATAATTTATTAAATTTTTTTTTTAAAATAATTTTTATATTCGATTCTATTCAGAGATGAAATTCTGTTAATTTTAATAATTTTTATTCACGAAAAGTTGATATACCCGTCAAAAAAATCAAATTTCATAATAACCTTATTAGGTAAGTATTAATGCTGATCTTGTTTAGCTTTAAAAGTGAAAATTTTTCTATTTTTGGTAAGGAATTAATACTTAGGTCGTCATAAAAAAACTAGGGTTGCCGTTCTCAAGTCGGGCAGACGGTCGAGTCATTTTCGGGCCGACTCGATAATTCGGTCCGAGTCGGGCTATTTTGGCAACCCTAAAAAGGACTAAAATCGAGACCGTTTAAAAATGGTTGTAGAAGATAAAAAACGGCTATTTGTAATTTTTTGGAGGAGTCCTCATGTAGAAATATTTTTAAATAGTACAATCGTGAACGAAAAATAAAAATAATAAAATTTACAATAATTTAAAACCAAATAATTTTCAAACCTCAAATCTTCACCATCAAAGCTAGAAACACGAAAAATATGATAACACCGACGAAATACTTGAATTGCTGTCCGATTCAATAATTTTGAACCTAAAATTTTGAAAGTTAATTAAATAAAATTAAAAATACACAGCCACGGCCTGAGAAATGTTTGATTTGTAAAATTTATCCTTTCTCGATGTTTTTCTGGAGTTTCAGTTGCTGTAGCGGCACTCATATAACTAAAAATCGAATAAATCTGAAAATAATTATTAAAAAATTTTATACATATGAGCTTCGTCTTCAGGAATTTCATGAGCTGCAGCAAATGAACGCCAATTTTCTGCTAAATAAAAAATGATAATTATTGGATAAATTTCAAAATAAAAATGATTTTAAGCAAACAATTTATTAAATTGATATTTTCAATTAGGAATTTTTAATATAGGTTTTTTGTAAAAGGACAGGACAAAATCTGCATTAAGACAATATAAAAAAATTTTTATGAAATGTTTATATATTTTAATGGTAATATTAAACCGGACAGACCCGTTTTTTTTCCTACACAATTTTTCCCCTATATTTCTGAAAAATGGTCAGACATTTTCCTTTCTTTCATCCAAATATAGTAGCATTTCTAATTTTTGTAAAAGGAGGAAAATATAGGAGAAAAATTTGGGAAGGTTTTGGCAAGTCCGTGTTTTGTCTGTTCCGCGTTTTAGCCAGACAAGGGAAAAAAGGAAGTCTGTCCGCTTCAATATTACCATTTTAATAATCTTAAAAAATTTCACGAAAAGTCTGTCTTTTACAAAAAAATTTTTAATTAAAAAAAGTATGAATAAAATATTTTTATTAAATAAAAAAACATACAAATTTGTTTATTTTCTGCCTTCGAAAATTGCCTTTCCTTAATCTCAATTCCTTAAAATTTAATTGAAAAAAAATAAAATTCAAAACATACCATTTGCTTTTAAACGATTAATATGTCTATCTTTTAATTGCGTTAATGCAAAATGATGAAAGGGTATTCCATCATTAAAAATACTTCCATCTGAAGGTAATTTTAACAATCTTGGACGTTTCGATCTTCTGCTACTTTCTTCTTCGCTTTCATTAAATTCGGGGAAGGGGTCTGATCTTTTAGAACAATTTAACATTTGTGATGAATAAATTGCCCCCAACTGCTTAAGATCATCTACATTTTTAACTAAAATTTAAAAAATAATAAAAATATCAAAATTAAGTAAAAACCTGTTATTTCACGCCTTTCAACAAACTTATAAGCCTCTTGAAGTTTAGTGAATTCATTTTGTAAAGAAGTCTCATCACAATCGTCTAATTTTTTCCTTTTTGAATATTTCATTTGAAATTCCTAATTAGAAAATTGGAAAAAAATTTTTAAAGTAATTTTATAATATGTATAAAAATATATTTAAATATACCTTGTAAATATTAATAAACAAAATTAAATGTTTATCCAAGAAATAAAATTAATTTATTGAAATTAAAAAATATGTAGGTGAGTAGAAAAATAAAGATATGTAGTTAATAAGATATTGATTTAAAAAGAGAATATATGGAACTTGAATTTAGAAAATAAGATTATGTATTTAGAATTAAAAAACAAAATAAGAAACAGCAAAGATGTTAAAATAAAGGAATCCTGGTACTTGTGTAGTTTATGGACCATGCCCCCTTTTCTTATAAAAAGAAGAAAAATGGGCGCGAAAATAAATAGTTTTTCCTCTGCTGAACTTATTCCCAGAGAATTTTTTGGGAATAGAGAGCCACCACCCAGAGTTAAGTACGAATCGTAGGTTATAAATGCAGAGCTGGGTACTTGTTGTCATAGGATAAGATTCCTGACAAAGCAAATTTGGACACAAAATTTTTTTCAATTTTTGAAATGTCTATCCTTTATCGTTAAATAAATGGCTGAAATAAAAAGGAAAATATTGACAAAATATCATTCTTTAAGAAAGGAAGAAAAAAAAAAGGAGTATGGTGCATAAACTACACAAGTTTTCAAAAATTCTTTAATTGTACATATGTATATAAAAATGTTGTTTAAATAATTAAAAATTAATGTAGAATTGAGTACATTAAATTAGCCAACGAACGTGTTTATTTGTTGTTTTTGTTGTTTGTTGTTTACATGTTGTAGCATTTTTTAGAATTGAAACTGGAAACTCATTTTTTAAATGCATTTTGGTTTGATTCACTTAAAAAATATTTTTAATCTTCAAAATAAATTAATAAGGAAATAAAATTGAATTGAACAGGAAGATTTATTTTTTACTACCTCGATGTAAAACAAACTTTTCCGGAGAACTTAAAATAAAAAATTGTCTTAACAGACTGGAAATATATTGAATGATTTAAAAAAGTTAAAACAATTTCTATTTAAAAGATTATGAAATTTTAAACTAAAACTTTTACCTTTTCTTTCCCATGGTAGAAGTTCCTGCAGACCCATCACTTTTATTGTTCATTTGACTAATTATATAAGACAACATTTCGTCAATTTTGTCAACTTTCTGTTCAACTTTTTTAAAACGTTCCTGCAAAACAAAATAACCTAATCATTTTAAACAAAAAATCTCGAAAATTTTCATTTTTCTTATGACTTTTGATATTCAAAAATATTTTCAGTATCAGACCATTTAAAAATAAATGGTATAAATAATAGATTAAACCTCATTTGGATCCTCTTGCTTCTGAATTGAAGTAGATGAACGACCAAATGACATTTGAAAAGTTGTACCATTTGACTTCGAATGTTGTGTAAACATGAGTTGTTCAGAATTATAATTTGCATGATTGAATCTGTTGATATTAATAGCAGCAGCACGGTGCTAAAAAATTAAATATAAAGTAAATAATTTTTGAATAATTTTCTTAGTTAGGAAAGTAGTCTATAAATATTTTATAATAAATAAAAACTAAAAATTTCTCTAGTTTTTCATTATTTTTAGGCTTTAAGGGTAAAAAATAATATTTAACCTGTATCATTTGGTCCTGCACAAATCGATCATAAGAACGTTGCGCCTCACTGTTTACCATTCTGTCGAACTAAAATTTCCCAAAATTATATTTTTTTTTCTAAATTAAAGAAACCTGCCAAACATCATTTTGTCTATTCTGGTTAACTTGACGTTCTAGATGATATAATCGCTCTCTCATTGCGACATTCTCATCTTTTACGACTAAATTTTCTCTTTTTAGACCCTCCAATTGAGTGAGAAATTCCTATAAATTCAAAGATTATAAATCCCGTCCAATTCATGATTAATATATTAAACAACTTTAGGTATTGATGAATAATCAGCATGATGTGTTTCTACGAAAGACTCAGCACAACGCTCTGCAGAAGGCCCTGCTCCACTCTGTCCATTTTCGTTTTTTCTTATTAAAAAAATTCTGTTAATCTTATAATTGTACGAAAATGAATGCTTATACATATTCTATTTCAAAAATAAAATATGACGATTTATCAAAAATTAACGAAGTTTCTTAAAATTAAATATTAAAAATTTACTCTTATTTAAAGTCAAATCTTGTAAAGTTAAATTTAAAAAACCTGAATTTAATAGAAAAAGGTTGCTCCAAAATCTTTTGAAGATTATTTGCTCCCTCAAGGAAAGAAGGACGTTGTTGAATACGTTGAATATTTTGTCTATGTCGAAGAAGTGATTGATCCTCAGACATAGAACTGCCAGAAGTTGACAAATTTTGAACCTGATAAAAAATTTAATGAAATTCATAATTCAGATAAAATTTAAAAATCAAGGTAAAATTTAACTTTGTAACACTCCTTTTTTCGTTCATGTTTTTTCTTATAATTTGATGGGGAGACTTTTCCTTCTTCCATCATAATTGCCTTACGAAGTGATTGATCCTCAGACCTAGAACTGCCGGGAGTTGAAAAATTTTGAACCTGATAAAAAAATTAAATTCATAATTCAAATAAAATTTAAAAATCAAGGTAAAATTGAACTTTGTAACACTTCTTTTTTCGTTCCCCAAGTTTTTTCCTATAATTTGATGGGGAGACTTTTCCTTCTTCCATCATAATTGCCTTACCATATTTTGTCTACAAACAATCAATATTTTTTATCCAGTTCTTTAGAAAGAAGGAAGGCGATTGTAAAGGAAGGAAAAGTACAGATTATAGGAAAAAACTAAGGGAGGAAAAAGGGAAACTGGAGACGACACTATTTCGAAATTTCTAATGTTACATACATACCGAATCAATGCTTTTAATTCTTTTTTTTATTAACAGTTTCCGAATGCAAAAAGGAATTTATTATAAAACTAATCTTCTCTGTATCAACGTATTTCGTTGAATATGTAGCGGAATTAGTGGGTTAAAAACTTATTTAAAGTTTATTTAAAACAAATAGATAGAAACGTAAGTTACGTTCAGAAGAAAGTTAAAAGGGGAATGATTTGTAGCGTGGCGTTTCCAGTCTCCACAAAAAACCATTTTTAGTACTTTAGAAAGGAAAAAGGGGAAATAAAATTCAATTTAACCAAAATCGATTTATGTAAATTATTTTGAATCAAACAAAAAATTCAGACAAAAATTCAAAAGACTAATTAAAGAAAACCTGTTGTAAAGTTTGACGTTCCTGCTTTGCCGGTGTAATAAATGGACTTTGTGTACATTTAGACGCATTGGATTTTGCTCTTACAGGTCTTCTACCTCCGCAAGTACTGGGAATATCGTCGGTGAGTCGTTCATCGAAAGATGCATCAGTATCACTTTCTTCACCATCTTGTCTGATCCAAGAGTGCATTTTCCAGAAATAATAATATCAGTATAAAAGAGCTAAAAAATTATTAAATAAAATTTACGGGATCGACCCAGAAGGTCACATTACCCAAAAGGTCAAATACAAATTTTTGGCGGATAAAGGATATATGTATATTAAGACGGATTTGTGGGTATCAAGGAGGATAACGCCGGACTTGGGCGGATTAAGACGGATTTGTTGGGATTGAATAAATCCCTAAGTCAAATTAGAGTAGCACGAGGTCGAGGTTTTTTGAAAAAACCGAGACCGAGGATCACCGAGGCAGGAAAAGCCGAGATCGAGGTCGAGGGGCTAATTTTGACCCGAGGCCGAGGACCGAGGATAACCGAGGTTTTTAAAAAATTTTATAACATTTCAAAATCTAGTTAAATTTAGTAAATTTTTCAAATATTTGCTTAATACTTATCAAATTAATATTTTACATCTGATTCATACCAAGTAGGCTGCCCATAGAGCTGTCCAAGACTCCTGTCCAATATTCTAAAAATTTTCGCCTGCGGCGCTGAAAAAGGTAGAGATATGACTCCTTGGTCTTTACTTCGTATATTTGATTATTTAGTAGACTGGGTTTAGACGGATATGGGGGGGGGGTCAAAGGAGAGTATAAGGGGACTTGAATGGATTAATTTGAATGTAAGTGGATTTAGCAGATTAAGGAGGATATCATGGATTTGTGGGGATAGAGTGTATATAGGGGATTAATAGGATTAAGGGTATTTAGTGGAAAAACACGAAAATTTAGAGATTTTGGAAGGCCATAAAGTCAGATTGGCAGTATCTGAAAGGAGTGCTCGGATCGCATTTTTCCTTACATTTTTCCTTACCTCGGAATGGGGTCAATTTTCCTTAGTATTATAGCAAAATAGAGCCAATAAATTATTCCACAAAATGGCAGGGTTAGGCCAAAAGATTCCAACACAATTGGCCAAGGGTTTAGTACCAACAAATTAAAGCCAAACAAATAGTAATAAGTTTATTTCACACAAATAAATAGTCCAACAAATAGATTAATGATAAGGCCACAAATAGGAACAGGAGCCACAGAACCAGAACAGAATAAAGCCAACAGAGAAGAGCTAATGAGAAAGCTAATGGGGGTTTGGAGGGGGGATTATATAGGCCAGAAAAATAGGCGGGTAGACTTAGAAAATATTTCGATCATTAAAAACATAATAGGAACGATTAAATAAAATGCACATGTTTTGAATAATACAAAAGAGTGGAAAATTAAGTTAAGTTTTAGAACAAAAGAGCTAAAAATGTAAACAGAGTTTGAATAGATGTTTACAGCAAAAATGGTTTTTTAGCGTGCCCGCTCAAAATACCGAATTCTCAAAATCGCGAATCGGCCAAAATATCTCAAAATCGCGAATCGGGAAAAATATCTCAAAATATGGAATCGGCCAAAAAAGCTCAAAATATGGAATCTTAAAATATCGAATCTCAAAATATCGAAATGGTAAAAAAAGCTCAAAATATCGAATTTTTGATAGAATATATTACCTAGGTTAAAAAGGCTTAAAATAAATAATAATCCTTACTACCAAAACAAACAAATGAAATAAGAGAATATTCATTTTATTTAAAATCACCGAAAAAATCATTAAAACTAGAATCATTGAAAGATAAAAAAACAAGGTAAAATATTAATAAATAAATAATGAACTAGAAGTGCCTAAATGATTTTGACTATTAGTTTGACTTTCTAAAGTTGCACTATCCACTCCATCTTCAGTATCACGTTCTTCCTGTTGACGTGTAGCAACTCGCAGTCCCTCAACATACCCACTCATTTGTAAGCCAAGGAGCGTGAGAACATTTAAAAGTTGTCTATTATCATCGTATTCTGCTTCATTTAATGTTTGCATAACTTGGAACTCCTTGATCACATATTTTCTTTTTCGTTGTTGTGTAAAGATAGTAGCAGAACGAGCGATGTCTACTTGCTTATCAACATCATCCAAAATTGCCAAGAGAAAATCACTCATTGAAGGATGGTGGTTAAGTTTTTTCTGAATTAAGAATTTAAAAAAGCAAAAAAATACAAGAAATACCACAAAATGGTAGTGACTCGACTCCAATGCATTGTTTGTCTTAGCTAATGCTTTTAGGGCCCGATCATTCACATTCCAAAATAATATAGGATATTGCGGACTTTGAACTAACGGCAACTCCCATCTGGGTATCTCCACAATTGTACTGAGGTTTATTGACGGTGTTGGAGGTTCAGTTGAATCCAAATGGATAGGAGTTGAAATAATGGGATGAAAAGAATGATCATCCAAAGCTAAATTTGTTTTTAAATTTTATTGAACATTAAATAGATTAAATAGAAAACCTGTGAAATCTCCAATGTTTTCTTGAATTGAATGCACAAGAACGTCCTGTTGAAATGCTTCCGCTCCCAATTGTTTTTCAATCTGACTTAAACCAATATATGTCGCCGCGAAATAAGCGATAAATGTTGACATGCAGGCAGAAGAGGAAGTAACAATGAGCCCAAAACCACGTCTAACATGTTGTGGCGGAATTAAAGCCAGGGCGAGAATCCGCCTATAAATTTTAGTATTATGTTACTACCAAAAATAAAAACCTGAAATTAGTCCTAGCACGTTCTCCTTCATCTGTGTCATCACCTAGAAGATGATCTAGGCCAAATTGCCTCCATTTTCGCCAAAGAGACTGTCCAAAATGAAACAAACAACCGGTAAGATGAGCTGCTGGAAAGATTGATTGAAGAGCAGCAATTTCAGATTTTTCAAAATCTGATATTACTTAAAATTATAAAAACTTATTTTAAAAATTATAAGCTAGAAACCTCTTTTTGGTTCATTTGGATTAATGGCGCGCCTTACTTCTCTCAATACCTCCTGATAATGAATTGTCTTTTTGGTTGGAAGAAGGGCTTGGACACAAACAACAATGCGGCCTCGTACAAAGGCACCAATACAAAAACATTGCATAAATGGCCTTGGGGCCGATTTGAAGGTGCCATCAAGGGCCCAATGCTTATTCTGGGATAATATATCAAGCAACTGAATATGAAAAAATAGTAGTCGTTTACAATTATTAAAATAACCCTTGCATGGCTAAAGACAAGAACAACATCTTCATTTCCACGTTCATTTCTACTGTCGTAAATCAACGTTGATGAGTCGTATTTTTGTGTCAAAAATGCTGGAATAACCATTTTTCCAAGATCATGGCAATTAACGTTTCCGAACCTCTTCTTTTTCTGCCTAAAATTAGTGGAAATTTATTGAAAACGGAAGATAAATATAAACCTTTGTATCAGTTGATTTAAAGCATGATCACTTCCCAGACCAATGTAAACTTCATCTGGAATATTTGCTCGCACTTCTCCCAAAATTGGTCGATTATCTTTTTTTAATTTATTTCTAATCTCTTCGCACGTTTTTTTTTGTATTGTAGGAGGATGATTATGCTCAATTCTTCCTAAAGTACCGAAAAATTGGCCATTTTTCACTTCAGCTTTTGAAGTTGCATGGCAGTCCAAGTTTGAACAACGCCAATGAATATTTTTGCTCTTGACATATCGATACCCTCAAAAAATCCATTTTAATAATTTGATATCTAGCTCAAACCTGCATGCCAAAGGCAGACGCCACCCTTCTGTGTAACTCCTTGTTCAAATTTTATCAGATTTGCTCCAAAACTTTCATTTTCTGCATCAAGATTTGCTTCTGGTTGTATTTCATTAAAATCAGAAGTATCATTAATTTGTAACCGTCGTTTTTGAGTTTTTTGTAATTTCGCAATTGTTGCTCGTACATTCATTTAAAGGTAAAATTCTAAATTCGGTAAAATTATAGAAAACAAAACACTTCCGTAGCAGCACAAAAACAGTTTTTCCAGCGAAGCTTTAGTTGGTCATAATTTTGTTCAGACTCAACTGTTCTTTGCCTCATTGTCGATTTTTTCGATATTTTGAGCTTTTTTTACCATTTCGATATTTTGAGATTCGATATTTCAGATTCCCTATTTTGAGATTCGATATTTTGAGATTCGATATTTTAAGATTCCATATTTTGAGCTTTTTTGGCCGATTCGAGATTTTGAGATTCCATATTTTAAGAATTCGGTATTTTGTATGGGAGCCTTTTTTAGAAGGGTAAAAGTCCGAAAAAGGAATTTGCAATAAGTGATGATTAATTTAGAAATATAAAAATATATTTATTTTATTTTCCTCATCTTTAGTCGCTTCGCGACAAGTATTTGATGTTTGTCACAAGGCAAAATTGTATAAAAAATATTTTTTTTCTGTTTATTTTGTTGGGTGAGTGATAAAACTCGTTCTTACAAAACTCGGTCAAGACAAAACTTGGTCGGACAAAACTTGGAACGATCAAGTCGGTCTTACCAAAACTCGGTGCAATTTGTCTGCTGTTGTTTTTCCGTACCGTTAGATAGCCTGACACGAAAATAAAGAACCAAAGATAACAGCACTAATCCAAAAAATCCCAAACAAAATGGACCGAGTTTTGGTAAGACAGACTTGGGCTTTCCAAGTTTGTCCGACCAAGTTTTGCCTCGAACGAGCTTTGTAAGACCGAGTTTTGCCACTCACCCAACAAAATAAGCAGAGAAAAAATATTTTTTACACAATTTTGCCTTATGACAAACATCAAATACTAAGGAAAATTGACCCCATTCCGAGGTAAGGAAAAATGCGATCCGAGCACTCCTTTCAGATACGGTCGTCAGATTTCTTCCATTTTTAGCGCCGCAGGCGAAATTTTTGAAAATTTTGGAAGGCCATGAAGCCAACAATCTTCCTTTTTCTGCGCCGCAGGCGAAAATTTTGAGAATTTTGGAAGGTAAGTCACCATATTACTTCCATTTTTTACAAAAAAAAGCAATTCTTAGGGGTGTATATTTAGCCTCGGTCCTCGACCGAGGTTCAGGGCGAGGACCGAGACGAGGTTCCGAGGCCCGAGGTCAGCAAAACCGAGGTCGAGGTTGACCTCGGCCTCGGCGAGGCCTCGACCTCGTGCTACTCTAAGTCAAATAGTAGGTTTATTAAACCATATTTATCTGTTATTAACTTAGTGGGAGACGAATGGAAGGATTTTGCACTGTGGGACTAATTTAGGGGGACAAATCCTGGGTTTTTATTCAGGGGGACGAATTGTGGGTTTTTGTTCAATGGGACAAATCTTGGGTGGGACGAATAAATTAATTTATTTTCTATCGTTAATTATTAGAGATGTGCGAGACTCTTGGTCTTGGTCTTGGAACCAAGACTTTTCTTGGTTTTTTTTCGGTCTTGGTCTTGGGGTGTTTGTCTTGGTCTTGTCTTGGTTTTATTTTTTGGTCTTGGTTTTTTGGCCTTTTTGGACCTAGTGCTTGGCCATCCAAAATCCTCAAAATTTTCGCCTGCGGCGCAGAAAATGGAAGAAATCTGGCTTCTTGAGCTCCAAAATTCAAAGAATTTTCGCCTGCGGCACTGAAAATGTGAATTTTTTTTGGCCTATGGCCTTCCAAAATTTTCAATATTTTTGCCTGCGGCACAGGAAAAGGAAGATTTTTGGCTTCTTTGCTTTCATATCCTCAAAATTTTCGCCTGCGGCGCTAAATCCCACGGCTATCCCTCTTAATCTTTTGATATCACTAATATCCCGTTAATCCACCCAAACCCTCTGAAATAATAACCTATTTTATTGATTTTCCACAGAATAAATTCCCCGAAATTCTTTGAATTTCGCATAAATTTTTCGAAATTATAGATAATTGTGCTGAAGTTGACTGTGATCGTATCAAAATAACAAAAAATAAACCAAAAATTTGACCTATGGGATTTATTAATTTGGTCTTGATTTTTGGTCTTGAGTCTTGGAGTTTTGGTCTTGGTCTTGTGTCTTGGTCTTGGAAAAAATTTTGTCTTGGGTCTTGAGTCTTGAGTCTTGGAAAAATTTCGGTCTCGCACATCTCTATTAATTATTATAAATATGGATGATTGGCATTTTTGCCGCTGCGGAAGAAGCCGGTAATGTCGAGAGGAACGACTGCGCCGCTTCGCTACGGTCGCCGCGAGCGAAACGAGCAAGACCTCAGCGGAGCACGGGCATCGTGTAGCGAAGACCTTTTCATAATTGGCCCGATCTGTTGTGACCACACAAAAAAATACTGACGGAAAACTGTTTTAAACGGAAGAAAGCGAAAAAAATAAAAAACGGTAGTTGGAAAGCAGAGGCGGAAGCAAAAAATTTAATAAAGCTTTTATTCGTAAACTTAAAAATAAATGATATTACGCACATGTACTACATACATATTTCAAAAAATCTTGACTTTAAATTACAAATCAACATTAAATTTCTTCCATGCCAAACTAAATCAAAGATTAACCTCTTATACTTCTTTTTCCAAATGAACCATCACGAGTTGGACAAGGACTATTTATTTATAAAGTTAAAATACTGATAATTTCATTTTTTGTAAGATTACATTATAATATTCCGGATATACTTTATATTTTTAAACTCACCAATACTCCGCGTCTTGGCCATGCTTGCCTACTACGCCTCGGCCTCCTTCTTCACCATCAGGGCCTGGCGGACCCTTTCGAAATAAATATACTTAATATTTAAAGAAACAATTAAAATTACTTGCGATCCAGGAGTTCCTGGTGGACCTTTCGCCCCTTGTTTGCCTTGCACTCCATCTAATCCTTTTTCGCCTATTTGGCCTGGAGGTCCTTCAGGTCCAGCTGTTCCACGCACTCCTTTACGTCCTATTAATTTTTCCGCATCCTTACCAACGTCTCCAGCTTTTCCAGGCTTCCCTATTTCCCCTATTTAATTATTTACAAATAAGTCTTAAGATTATATTGAACCAAGAGCGCCTGCTGGTCCAACCTCGCCTGTCAACCCTGGAACGCCATCACGTCCAGAAATTCCTAAATTAACAAATAATCGAACATAAATTGAATATTAAAACTTCGAAATTAAAAACCTGGAATTCCATTAGGTCCCCGTGGTCCTCGTATGCCTGGATTGCCTTCTTTTCCAGGAGTTCCTTGAGGTCCAACAGGGCAGTTCTTTGAATTTATTAATTATAAACCTTAATTAAAATTGACTTACAAAGCAGCCTTTGGAGATTGCACTATTTACATCCATTGCATCATGTCCGGGAATTCCTGGTACACCACCAATTCCCCGTTCCCCTGGAGGACCTACCACGCCTGGAAATCCAGGAGGGCCAGCAGGACAATCATTTAGGGAAATACAATCTAATTCAAGACACATTATTGAAAAGAAACTGTCTAAGGAAACTTACTGCAGGAACTGCCTAGTGAAACCTTCAACGGCCCAGTGGCAACTTTTGCCGTAAATATATTGTGTGTCTGGTGTTGTTGCTGCTGTACTCCGTACCCTCCATAAATTTGTCGTCTTTGCCGATTTGATGGGGTACCAGCCCCCATAGAAAGCATACCTTCCCATATATTATCTGTCTAGATTTGGAAAAATAAAATAGAGGGGATATTTGTATATTTCAATACTTTAATATTAAATTGTTTTATTTCAAGGCCTAATTCATCCCACATTGATTGTAATTGAATATTCAGGCAAATTATTCCGGCAATACACATAATAATTGTGGTTACGCTGATTGTGATTGCAAAGCATATTAGATTATCTTTCATTTAAATATAAATTCAATAGAAATTTTAGAAATAAAATATATAATTTAGATATATAATTTAGATTATTAAATAAATATTTTTTGTTTCTTTTAAAAATTCCAAGATATTTTTATTATGTAGAATTAATAAAATATTTTATTTTCTGGATTGCAATAATCCATTCACGTATATCTTTATCTGTCTAAAGAATCAGTTTACTCAAAAGGAACATAAAACCTGGAGTAATATTTCTAAAAGCCCGTTTATGGAAGCAATTAAAAAGAACAATAAATATAAAAAATAAGATTGTACATAATATAAAAAATTTATTTATGTTATTGTTCCCAGACTATTCATACATATGATTATAAATTTAAAGGATCATCAAAATTTAAAAAATAAATTAAAAATTTATTTAAAAAATGTTATGTCATTTTTAGTGTTTTTCAGCTCAAGTCACTGAATAAAGAGTAATAATTATATTTTAATTAACATCTTTTTATCATCCGCGAATTTTACGTCTACGAAAAATAACTCCAGTGCCTTCTCTGTCGATACTTTTTCTGCCTCTTCTTAAGCTATTCCGATTTGGACATGGACTGAATATTTATACAAAATTATCAAAAATGCTCAATTACCAATATTCAGCATCAGCTCCATGTCTACCTACAGGCCCATCTTTGCCCTCTTCGCCTTCTCCGCCTGGTGCTCCTTGTATTCCAGCAGAACCTTGTGGTCCGGGGGGCCCTTGTTTTCCAGGTGGAGCATCTTCACCTGGGTCTAGATACAAAAATTTTTGGCATTATATAAATGCTATTATAGAATATACAAAAACGTACCTCCAACTGTGCCCTGCGGCCCTTGTTCTCCTGGCGGCCCTAAATATTTGTAACATTGAAAATACCTTTTAAAAAAATTTATTAACTAGCCTCGAGGTCCCTTACGACCTATAGGTTTTTCGTAATCACCGCCTTTTTCTCCTGTTATTCCAGTATGTCCGTCTTCTCCTGGTGTCCCAGGCTGACCACTTTAATTTATTTATAATATTATTATTTATGACAAATACTGACCTTTCTCCAGAAATTCCAGGAATCCCGTCGCGTCCAGGAATTCCTGGGCTGCCTTTAGGTCCCCGCATACCTCTTATACCTGGATGGCCTGCCTTTCCAAGAGATCCTTGGGGTCCGACAGGGCAGTACTTTTAAATATATAATTATTAATTTATTAAGTCATCTACTATAAATAGTCGAGTCATCTACACACTATACAATAATTATCTACTATAACTCAATAAATGTTTTTTTATTTTATTTTTATCACTAAACTTACAAAGCATCCTTTTAAACCGGCATTTTTGAAATCAGGCGCGTCAAATCCTGGAATCCCAGGTTTACCCTGAAATTATAATAGACAAATTAAGATGATATAAATTTATTCATGTATGTATTGAATAGCAACCTTTATCCCAGGTTTACCAGGCTGTCCAACATCACCAGCTGGCCCTTGTGGTCCCGCTGGACATTTGTTCTCCTCTTTGCATACACACTCAGCAGAACCATGGAAGGTTGATGAACTGCCTCCAAGGCTAAGGTGCGGAGGCTGACCAATTGAATGTACGGCAATTCCTGCGGGAAACTGCAATAGAGGAGGTCCAGTCGTTATTTGTATCGGTGGTTGCAATCCTGCTGCATTATAACCACCATACAATTGGCGTCGTAAGCGGTTCGATGGAGAACCTGCACCCATTGAAATCATGCTTTCCCAAAGGATGCTAGTCTGTAAATTAATTTCTCAGAACTTTTTGAATTTCACATTTGAATTTCACATCCATATTTTCTAATTTATATAAAATTAGTATAAATAAAATGCCTCAATGTTCAATTCATTTATTTCAATATCTAACTCATTCCAGATGCTCTGAATTTCGTTGTAGATCGAGACTATTCCGTACATGCAAAGTAACAATGTCACACCGCATATTAAAATTACAGTGGACGTAAATTTATCATTCATGTTAATTTATATTTTCAAAAATAATAACGAAGAAATTATGCAGTTTTGTTTTAAATTTATCTAAGGATTTTATAGGAAAGACGAACGCCTATTCTAATAATGGTGGTGGATTTTATTCTTTGATTGATGATCAGTTCGTTTAAATCTTCTCAGCCTCTCTCATTTTTTAGTGACCCATTTGCAAATACTTCTTGAAAGAAAGCGATTAAGCGAAAAATTTCACTAATTTTATTTTTTATCGTTATATAACAACTGGCTAAAATTGTTTTTGTATGGATGGTCAAATCTGGTTTTCTTAAAATATTGTAAGATGAAGTTATTAGAGAAACTAAAACAAGAGAAATATAAAAATTATACTTGATAAAATGCACACAAATAAAAAATGGCTGAATTAACTCACATTTAAATATTTAGGTAGATAGTGTAAAAATACTAAAAAATAACTAAAAAATTTATTATGAACTAGAGAAAGTGGGCAAGTAATAGTCAAAAAATGTCGAATTTTTTTGTTGTTTAAGCTGTAACTTAATATCTATATCAGTCGGGAACAGTTTTTCATACATAAAAAGAATTGATCGTTCGAAATCCAGTCGGAATATACATAATTTTCCTCAATATTAAAAAGACGTTACGTTATTTATTTTTAGTATTTTCATCCGGCTGACTATTGAAGTAATCTACACTCACGAAAATTTTCTCAAAAATAATTCTCAAAAATTCTAGATTTCGTTTAGCTTTTCTTCAGACATATATTTAATTCTTGATCTAAATAATCAATCAAAATTAGTATTTTTTCAAAAAGAATAATTTCAAGAAAATTTTGTTTAAAAAACAATTTTCCCCGCGGCATGGCCATCAATTTTTTATCAACTTTTTTGATACTTTTCTCCATCAGTAAACATGATCATTAAAATATTATCTTTTGTTAGTGTTCGAAACAAAAAGCGTGAAAAAATTAATTTGTCGTCTACTTAGTTTAATGACCTCCATAAAAATTAACTGTTTACAATTAAACATTTAAATTCCTTTGCCAATAAAAAAAATTCGGCCTCTATGCTCAATCAAATAAATATATAAATTTAAAAAATTATAGTGGAACTTGTAAATTATTAAGAAGAGAGAAAGGAAGTTAAAACAAATATTTTTTAAAAATGATTGAAAGAGGAGGAAGAGAATAAAATATAAAACAAGGACGGCTGGTTAATAACTCATTGCGCGACTTTCAACTTTTTTTTAAACATTTTTTCGTAACCTAATAAAATAGCGCTGTTCGAAAAAGAACAATGGTAAACGAACGACAAAAATTTGCGTAAAAAAGGAAGAGCAGCTGGCCATGAAATATGGGACGGGCTTTAAAATTAATGGTTTTTGAGTTCTTGGTTTACACAAAACAAGTATGTAAAGACGAGGAAAAAGAAAATTTTGAACATAATTTTAGACACCAGTTAAGTCTGAAAGTTTTCAAATAAAATTTTATTGAAAAGTAAAGTGCGGGAACGAACGTTTTTTCCTTTAAGAACAATTACCTCCACATTTACGCGCAACCCATTAAGCTTTTTCCCCAAAATACTTGTGCAATTAAGTTCATAGTATTATACATTTTAGCACAATTATTTTTTTATATTTTCCTTCCCCAAATTTTTAGCTGGTTGTAAAATGAATATTCCGGATAGAAGGATAGGAAGAGAAAACCATGAAATTGATGATGATCCAAAACAGACGTTATTAAGGGAGGCAGAACAGTTAAGGCGAAGTGCTTTTATTAGTGTAATGATAGGAACAGCAGCAGTTTTAACAGCCGGTATGTCAGATATAAATCAGATATTTGTAAAATTTAAATTCTTTTGTTTAGTAATAGCAGTGCCTATGCTTTATAATTATATGCAGTATGTTCAGTCTTCATTGCAAGAAGAACTTGCGTTTTGTCATCATCGCACTGAAGGCTTATGGGAGGAATATGTTAAAGTATCTACATATATACTCAGCTATCTTTAAAAATCAAAAATTCATTTACTCAGGTTCAACATATAACTGGAACACCTGCTCGTATTAAGCGTCAAGGCGGTTATCATTCTGCTCCACCACAGTATTCAAGTGGAGTAAGCAAGGGTTATTCGACAGGACCATCTAGTGGTTATGCAAGGAGCGGTGGTGGTGGTGGTGGGGGATATTCTAGTGGAGGAGGTCATGGTGGTGGAGGAGGTGGAGGCTATTCTCGAGGAGGAGGAGGAGGAAGTGGTGGTGGTGGATATGCACAGAAATGTGATTAGACTGGAAATATATAAATATAGTTATGTTTTTACAGCCGGCGGAGGATATTCTGCTGGTGGTGGTGGAGGTGGCGGTGGCGGAGGATATGCGCAAAAAAATACTGGTGTTAGTTATCGAACACAAACTGCAACAGTAACAAGGCAGCAATGTGCTTGTACAACTGGTCCACCAGGCCCTCCAGGACAACCAGGAGGTAATGGGTCGCCAGGACAAGACGGAACGGCTGGAGAAAATGGGTCTCCCGGAGAAGATGGAGTTGCACCTCCAGCACCGAAAACGAGCAGTTGTCAGACATGCCCGCCTGGACCACCCGGACCACCAGGTCCCCCCGGCACAAAAGGACCATCAGGCAATAGAGGAACAGATGGATCATCACCTGATAGTGGATAGTAAGTTAAAATAAATTTGATAACGAAGCTAAGCTTAAACTTATTTTAAATAATTATAGTGGTGGTGCAGCTCAACCGGGTCCACCAGGACCTCCAGGTTAGTTACCTATATTTAGTTAAAATTAAAATTGTCGTTTAAAGGTCCCCCAGGTCCTCCAGGAGGTAATGGACAAGCTGGTCCTCCAGGCCCACCCGGACAGATCCAAGAGAGTAAGTTTAACTTATATTCATTTTAATGTAATTACACACAATTTTAGGCAATCTTCCCGGACCTCCTGGTCCTCCAGGACCGGTGGGACCACCAGGCTCTGCTGGTCAGCCAGGACAAGCTGTAAGCTTCATTATAACTTTTATTAAATTTAACAAAATATTATAATAAACAGTCAAATCCTCAACCTGGACCACCTGGGCCCCCCGGAGATGCTGGTAAGCTTTATTAATTATATTCAAGTATTAATTCGAAAAACAATTTTTAGGACCGCCAGGACCACCAGGAAACCCTGGAGCCCCTGGCCCGAAAGGCAATGATGGACCTTCTGGCAAAGGAGGCATTTGTGATCACTGCCCTCCTCCTCGAACACAGCCAGGCTACTAAAATGAAATCTCGGGTCATCTTTGTATTGTAGCAATTATTCCTCATTTAAATTAATTTTCTCAACTTGTATTATGTATATATTCTCATTTTAAAAATATTTTTATTTATACATTCACATCAGAATGTTTAATTTTTGCCATGATAAAAATAAAAATTTATCAAAGTAAAACTTTCTTTTTTCAAAACAACTTTAAACAAAATAAAATAACTAGAATAAAAAATTAAGAAGAAAATGAATAAAATAATTTATAAATTTGTAATTGAAGAGAGGGAGAGGTTAAGAAGATTTCTAATAAAAGAAAATTAATCCTAATGATATTATGATCAGATTAATCCCGTCATAACAATAACTCACACAACACGACGTTTTGATATATTTTATCCGAGTCGGTATTTTGTTTCTTTATGGTTATGTCGATCTTTTGATGGGTTTTACCCCTTAACGACCTTTTGAGAAAGAACTTCTTTTCTATGTTCGCCTTGCTGTTATATTTTTTATATTTGTCTCTAATTTATTCACAAAATATATTTGAATGTCTTTTTACATTTTTTTAAAATACATATTTTCTTAATAAATATTTCCAATTCTTTTAATTTTTATTAAAAAATTTTATACTTTTTTTATTCAGATTCTCATTATTGGGTACACAAACTTCTCTTTTTTTCAGAAAATGGACATTCATAAATTAGACAATCGTGTTAAAAATGAAATTATTATTTTAGAAAAGCAATTACATCCGTAAATTATTTTTAAAAATTTTTTAATATTTTTATTTTTTCAGTGAATGTGGTAATACTTTTGTTAAAAAACTTAATGAATTAGCTCCTCCAATTTCTCATTTACGAATTTTTGTTGGTGCTTGGGTAATAAATATTTTTTAAATTTCTAAAGTTAATTTTTATTAATTTATAGCGACCGTTAAGACGTTACAATTGTGTGGTTGACAGAGGTGGACAAGAGGTTTGTTGAAATTTATTTCAAAAGTATTCCCATTTAAGAAGGTTTAGTAAGGATATTTTTGGGATAAAATTAATCGAAATAATTTTTGGTCAGTTTCCCTACTTTTTCCTAAACATTTTTTCCGAATTAGATTGTTACTGAGAGAGGAAAATAGGAGATAATAAATTAATAAAATTGACTCAGACTAACGTCTTAATGGAGTAGACTTGCTATTGGGGATTAAATCTTGTTAAAACACCCTCCCGTGATCGAATTGAGCAGTTATGTAAATTTTAGGGTTTTGTGTGTATATTTTTAAATGATTAAAATTATTTTTAAATAAAAATAAAAATTTTTAAATAGGTAAATTACATTGTTGATTATTTCAAAGACGAAGAATCTTTGTTGAAAGTTCAACAAAAAGGATGGAAATTGTCTAATTTTGTTGATCGAATGTGGATTAGATATTTTCGATTTAAACGAAATTTTTTGGATAGAGGTTTTTTGGAATGGTGATTTTTGATTGTTTGTTTTTTTGTTTAGATTTGTCTCTAATTAAAATTTTGGTTTTTTTGTAAATTATTTGCATCTAATTTAGGCCGTGGGTCTTCTTGAGATTTTAATTAAGATTTATAAAAAAATCCCAAAAAATCGGTTCTTTTCCCAAATTCGAATTCTGCTTTACTAGATTCATTTTTCTTTAATTTTAGCCGAGAGATAACTTGCTCAATATTCTAGTTTCAAAGAATAATTTCACAATTTTTCTCTGTTATTAAAAATATTTTCCTTTAGCATATCCCCCCCCCCCCCCAAAAAATATTGATTATTTTTATTTAAAAAAGTTCCTCGTACCCCTAATTTAGGATTTTTTGATTTCTTTACTTAATTCCTTTAATTATCCCTTAACTAATTCTAATAAAGTTGAAATTGACTATTTAATTTTTCATTTGCTTTTTATTAACCTAGTAGTTACATATTTTAAACCTTTTTTTTAAATTGTTCTCTATATCCCCATAGCAACTAAATATACATATATTGACTTTAAAATAATTTTTAAATTAAAAGAATTTAATTTTTGTAATTTTTGAAAAAAAATATCCAAAATAAAAATAATTCAATGGAAAAATCTTGTGAAGTTTGTGGTGATGTCCCATTTGGAAAACATTATGGGGTAACTGCTTGTAATGGTATAAAATATATTTTTAATATTGAATTATTTTTTAAATTTTAGGTTGTAAAGGTGAGGGGGAGATAATATTTTAATTAAATTTTGAAAAATCTTTTCGTTAAAAGGATTTTTTCGTCGTTCAATTTGTAATAGGCGAAGTTATATATGTCGGTATGGATCAACATGCCCTATTGTTAAAGGTGTTTTTTAATTATAGAATAATTAATTTTTGAAACCGGAACCATCAAAAATTGGAATTATTAGGATCCGAAGACTCGCAACCATTCTATTCTTTGGAGCTGGGACATCCCGTTCCTTTTCCCGTTTCTATAATTTAGATGTCCGTAACTCCTTTAACTCTAATTTAGAACAAAGAAATGCTTGCCGCGCCTGTAGATTAAAAAAATGTTTCGAAGCAGGAATGAATCCAGAGGGTAATTATTAAAATAATTATATATGTACATATGTGAAAAAACATGATGTGCCATCTTTTTGAAACGCAGTGTACTGAAAGATTAAAAAAATTTTTTTTGGAAAAATGGGAAAAACTAGCATTTCACTTTAGGTCACACAAATATGACAACTCTCCTTATCTTTTTTCAAGATGTGAGTTTAGGACAGGAATTATTTTCCAGGAAAAAATATTTGAACTATAATTTTTAAATTTTGAAGCAGTAAAATATGAAAAGGATGTTGAGGAAAATTTGAGAAAGAAAGCAAAACAAGAAAAAACAACTCAGGCAAACTTGTTAATTAATTTTTTTGTAATTTATTTTTAATTAAATAGACAGAATTTGATGAAAGTAATTTTGCAGAGGAATTACCTTCACCTTTGCCTAATAAAAATAATGTAGTAGACGATGAAGAAATAACTATTAAACTTGTATTAATTGAAAAACAGGTAATGGAAAGGAGGAGGGGATTTTCTGGTAAAAAGACACCAAAATTTCACTTTATTACTCTCCCTCTTGGATTACCGTGTATATCTCCCTAAAACCTCATTTATTTTTAAATAAGGATTGCTAGGATTGTGGAATTTTAGGGATTAAATCTCGTATGAGTCTGAATGGTAGGCTCTAGCAGAGTTCTTTATTTGACCTCCTTATCTCAATTTTGAGTAAAGCTGTAAAGAATGATCGGTAGTTGTTTACTTTTGGATCACCCTGTTTAAATTTCAAGTCTACCTTTATTTTTAAAAAAGGTTTGGGATTTGGTAGACACAAGTTGTTCACTTATAAAACCAAAAATAACTACAAACTCCGGAGTTCATTCCTCCAATAATCAAATACAAAAAGATATTCCTTTTGAAGAAGCATTTAAAAATCCAACATTAATATGTGGACGTTACCCGGTTGGTAATTAATTTCGTTAAAATTTTGACAGAAAATTTATTTATTTTCCGATGAAGCTAATGTTTAATCGAGCTGATCAGCCTCTAACACCTTTTCTTTATATTGATGGGTGGAAACGACATTTCACATATTTTAGTGATTGGGTACATCAATTAGAACCATTTCAAAGAATGTCTTTTAATGATCAAGTAGGGAGGGGTTTTTAATTAAAAAGTTTAAAGTTGGATATTAAATTTATGGGGCTTTAGTAGTTTGAAAACTATCTGAAGAAAGGGATTGGGGTTTTGGTTTGAGTCCGGAAGTTTTAACATGATTTAAAATTCGTTGTCTTATCGCAAGGGAACTGAGTTGTCTTATCGCAAGGGAACCATAAGCAAATGTATGGATAAACTCAGAAAACTGAAATTTATTTATTTATGGAAAACTCCAAATATTTATGTATACTAATAATATTTCATTCTACTATAACAATTTAAAGATACTTCTAGCCAAACAAAGAATCATTCACGTTGGGTGGTTAGTTCATGCCTACAATTCACAATTAAAAGGAGCCGGAGCAATATGTTTTGCTAACGGGGCTTTTTATCATCCTGATACAGCCAAAAATGATAATTGCTCCGACGAATCAACAAAAAATGAAGATGACCAACATTCTAAGTAATTAACATTCTAGGTATAAAATTTAAATTTTTAATTAGAATTGTTAATTTTTTTGGCCAACAATTGTCAATTCTAGTTCATTCTTTATTTGAACCACTCCGTCAATTAAATTTGGATTTTGCTGAATATGTTTTGTTGAAAGCAATTCTTTTGTTTCGTGAAGAAGTAAAATAAATAAATTTTATATTTAAATATAGCCAGAATTTAAATAGGTTGGACTAAGTCCACAAGCACTTGAACAAGTTAAAAACGCTCGGAGTTTATATTTGCGTGCTCTGTTTAAGCAAGTTTTTTAGATTTTTTATTTGGCTAGAATTGGGGGTTTTCTAAATTAATTTACAAATTGCTTCATTCAAATAATTACAATCTCTGTTAATTACCACTAAAACGAGAGGTTGAAACAATAATTAAAAGTTGTACTAATTACGCTTCTTTACCTTCCGAAGAATTAATGAAAAACCTGCTGGAGTAGTGTATTTGCTAAAATAATTACTCAGGGTAATTATTGTTTCAATCTCTCGCTGGAGGGAGTAATTAATAGGAAAGGAGTAATTATTTGAGAGGGACACACGGTATACATATTACCCCAACTAGAGAAAGCTCAAAAAAATTTTCGGGCAAACAATCAACAAATCAATTTTAAAGATATATTCGTGACAAGAAAATTGATCATACAAATGAAGAAACTGGAACAAAAGGATTGGTAAATAATGCATTCGAGAGAATGGCTTCTATTTTAGCTATATCCTCAATTATTTCAACTTTAAAATCAGAGGTTAATGAAAGAGTTCAAATAAGCACAATATTTAATCTTATCGAATTTGATTCTCTTATGAAGGATGTACATTCTTCAATTCTTCATTAATTGTTAATTTTTAAGAGTAAAAATAAGGGTTAAAAAACGATGAAATTATAATGTTCATTAAAGGAAAATATTTTCTTCCAAAATTTCAATTAACTTCATTTACATCTCCATTTGTCTGACTGACTCATCCATATCATTTACTAATATTTTTGATAATAAATCTTCATCTGGAGATTGAGTTGTTGTTGTAATATTTAAATTATTTTCTATTGAATCTAAAATTAAAATAAAGGAATATATCAATTTATTTATTAAAATTTACCATTAGAATCAAAAACAGCAAATGGAGAAACGTGTTTTGGAATATTAGTATTTTCATTTTCATCCTTAGTTGTATCACTAAATGGATTACGTTTTTCTCTCTGAATAAATTTATTATCAAAAATTTATTTAGAAATTATTATTAGATAATTCAAACTCTTACCAAGCCTTTCCTATTTCCAAATTAGGCTAACCAAAATATATCCCTGTTTTCATTTAGTAAAAAATCCTCATATTTAGGGTTGTCGGTTCTTGGAAATTCTTCGGATATCCGAATCGAAGAACCGAACCGAAAAATCTTCAGTTCTTCGTTTCGGTTCGTTCCGGAACCGACAACCCCTACTCATATTTCTAATGTCCCAAAAACAAATTCTAAACGAACCGGTAATGCTTGAATCATAACCACAATAAAAAAAGTAAATACAAACAATCTTTGTATATACATAATGTTAAGCTAAGTAATATATTTTTATTTTTATAATAATTTACTAGGTATTTTTGTTCGTTTATAAATCCTTTCTATTTTATGTTTATCTTTTAAAAAATTAACTCTTAGTCATTAACCCACTTAAACAGCCAAATATTTGTTTGCTTTTCATTTCACTCTTTTTCAAGTTTACTTTAAATTAAAATTCTTAGTAAATATTTTAGTTCAACAACCACAGATTCTTTTGTTTTTTTGTTTCCGGCCTGTGAAATTTGTGAAGAGAAATACCTTGGATTATTTACTAGAAGGAAGTTTGGAATTTTTCAAAAAAGCAAATGATTTGCCCGGAGTTTCCATTTTCTGTTCTTTATCAACTAGACTGGGTTGCCGTCCTATAATAAAATTCCTTAAACTTAAATGTTTGAACAATCTTTTTTTTATCAAGGAAATCAATTATCTTTTAAATTTATAATTTCTAGATTTTTCAAAAACGAATAAATTCAACATTTATAATTAAAAATATTAAATTATAATAAATTAGGTAAAATAAATGATCAAATATGTAAATCGAAATAATAAATAAAAATACAATGTGAAAATAATAAATGGGTAATATGTATAGAAATGGGAATTACCAAATTCCTAATATTAAGGAAAGGAAAGAGTCGACTTGTAGACAAAAATGGTTGTTAATAAATGTCAGGAATGCGATCTAAACAAAGTTAAGTTGGAAAAAATTTTTCTTAAAAAGAGAAGGGGATTTTCTCCTCTTTCCCTTGTCTACAAATCTAAGAAAAACCAAATATTTCTTCAAAATATTTTACTCATATTTAACCAATCTCTTTGTCCTAGGCACATTACAAATCTGACAATTCTCGTTCCGATCAGCACATCTTACACAAAAAAGAAAATGAGCACAGGGTAAAAAAATAACAGAACGCTGAAAATGAAAAAATAAGATTTTTAAAATTTACTTTATTAATTTTACTTGCGAAGAATTACAACCAAAACATGACCGAACAGCATTTAAACGAACCAATTCACGATCTTTCAGTGCTACTTGTCTTTTCTATTTTTTAATTTTTTCTAATTTCAAAAAATTTTTCTTACAAGTTTTTCATTCTCAGAACGTAATTCTCGTATTTCAGCTTCAGATCTCTCTTCCTAAAAAATAAAATATTAAAAAACAAGATAAGATATTGTTTGGGTGAAACAAGCTCAAGGATTTTAAATCAAAAAATAAAATAAAATTCGATTCCGGGATTCAGCTTATTGGGATCAAGGCGGGATGTGGATTGTGTAAAACTACGACCACGGATAACGGTAACCCTAAGACGAGAGTTGCTTAAAATTTTGATAAATTGCATCCGGCTTTGTCGGAACGGGATAATAAAAATAAATTAAAATGATAAATAGAAAATTATAAATTTGTTTAAATTATTCAAAAATACTTACAGAAGTTATGCTGCATTTATTTGAATTATTAAATTTCGAATTACGATGAAAATTATATTCATTTTTGCGGTGCTGATGAAAGTCAATATCGATTACTGAATCAAACATATGCTCATTTTTGTCAATGTTGTTGGGATATTCTGGTGAAATAAAATTCTTTGCTGTAAAAATAAAAAATGGTTATGAGTTTCAGAATGTTCCTAAGTAACTCAGGATTCAGTGAAATGGGCTATAATTTAACTTAGGGTCCTGACTGGGAGTGTCGTACAAGAATCGAGATCGATATTTCAAAAAAAATCTCGATACGATCCCGTCTCGGTCCAGGCTCTAGCTTTAACACAATTAAAAATAAAAACCAAAATTGAAAGAAAAGTTTCCCAAAAATGGCAAATCGAGCTGCTTCGATTTTTTCATGGATTTTTAAAAATGTTCCCAAAAACGTTTTTTGACCGTAATTTACAACAAAAAATTCTATCAGACTCGTTTTTAAATTAAAAAATACCTGGATGTTTTGATGATTGAACCGAGAAGGCAGAAACAGAAATATCATTATTTTCGGCATTTTTTGTTAATAAAGGTGGGGAATATGGAGATAATGAATTTTGAATATTTCTTTGTTTTTGAAAATTTGTTGTAGTATTGATTATTTTTTGATTAAATTTTGGGAATGCTTTGAAGTTATTTGTTGGATTTTGTTGAGAAAAAGCAGGAGGGGGTCTATTGCTTATATCAATTGTTTCGCCAAACTGTAAAAAAATTTAAAATTGTGTTAAAGATTTTTCACAATTTTTTGATTTTTAGGCACTAAAGGGTCTTATAAAAAGACACAAAAGAAAAACAAGCTATACCAAGAACTTTTCATATCAACTGACTAGGGCGTAGCGGGGGGAGGGGGAATTAAGAGAAGGATGACAAAAAAGTGAATTTTTTTCGCCTGCGGCGCTGAACAAATACAAATATGGTTCGAAAATTTGCGTCCGGAACGCCAAGGTAAACGCCATGGCGTACACACAATGTTAGCATCCCCCGAAATCGACCCACGGCTACACCCTTGTCAACTGATTGTAAGTTTTATGGATCCCTGATAAAATGTGAGATGGTTAAAAGCATATTTATTTTCTTCAAATATTTCTTGACAGATGGGTGCGTGTCTCAAAATTACTACATATTTATTTAATTCTATAATTAACTTACAGAGCTAACTGAATTCGATTTTCTTTTAATTTTTGCGGCCATTATTTCCAATTCTTTTTCTGCTTTAACAACAGAATCATTTGTTCCACGCAAAATAATAGTCCTCATTCCGACTTGTTTTGAATCTCTATAAAGATATTCGACTATACCAGAAGTCTTCTAAAAAAAGAAAAAAATATAGATTCGGAAATTAAATTGAAATTAAAAAATAGTGAAAATTAAAGAAAATGTACAAAAAAAGACATCTTTAAAGAATTTAAGAAAAAATATATTTACACTTAAATAAACCTGCATTTTAGCCATATCTTCTTCACTTTGAGTGGTCAATATTCTAGGAATTAAAATTTCCTTACAAACGAATTTTTGTTCATCGTCAAGAGTCCCGAGAAATTTCTGTCCAATATTTAAAGCCTTAAAAATAAAAATTTTTTATATTATTTCTAAAATTTATTGTTTAGATTCTCTCGTTTTTAATAGAAAACAAAAAACTGATGCATTAAGAAATATTAAACCTTTAAAAAATTTTTTTTATAAAAGCTTATAAAGAATAACAAATTAAACGAAAGAAAAAATCAGGAAATAATAAGATGAACAAGGAAGAAAATAAAATACTTCCCTATTTACGACTTTTTTTTTGGGAAAAAATAACTTTTGGCCCTATCCCAAAAGAAGGGCCGAATCGTTTTTTTTCATTACTTGCAAAAAAGGAAAAAATGGAGACGGATGGACACAGACAGACAAAACACGGAGTGTCCGTCCGTGTCCACTCTTCCTTTCCTTGCAGGTAATGAAAAAAACGATTTTCCTCCCTTCTTTTTGGATAGGGTCTGATTTTTCATAAGTTCGTTTAATTATAAAAAATTTTTTTAAATTATTTTCACAAGAATTTTTTAAATTAAAAAACTAATTTTCAAATTTACCTCGCATTTTTTAAGAATATATTCTTCATCTATATATTTCCTAGCTTTAATAACCTTCTCTTCAGAATCCCCCAAAATCTGTAAAGTTCTCCCCTTTGGATAATCCAACCAATTATCTCCAAGTAAACGCATTTTAACTCCAAATTCTGTCTAAAAATTATTTTTAAAAATTTAAATAAAATAAATAAACCTGTAATTTTTTAATATTTAACCCTTTATTTCCAATTAAAGTTGATTGGACAGCTGAAGGAATTACTATAGAGGTTTTAAATAAAGATTTGTTTAAAGAAAGGTCATCTATTTTATTATTTAATGATTTTTCGATATGATTTAATTGTTTATTACAAAGCATTTTAATATTTTCTAAAAATAAAAAAATAATACAATTATTTCAAACAAGAAATAAAAAAAGTTTTAGGAAAATTTAATGGAAAAATGTTTTTAGACAAGGATAGAACGGGTACAGCCCAAAACGGCGCAAGGCCATAAAGGCGCAAAGTCATAACTTTCAGGAAATTATCTGACCGTTTTCAATTTTGGTATCAAGCTCTTTAGCTCGACGAGCGGAATCGTATAATACTAAATTTGTTGAGATTAGGAAATTTTGAAGCAGGTTATGGCTTTGCGTCGTTGTGGCCGTGCGCCGTTGTGGGCGTGTCCTGGACAAGACAAATTGAATATAACGAAAAAAATTCTTGACCATTTTTGCAAAATATCAAAACAACTTTACATTTCGACAAAAATGACAAAATATCTAAATTTGGCGTTTACCCCAATTTCAAATTGTTTCATAACTAGGTACCGGAAAAATCGTTTTGCGGAATCCCACAAATCAAAAAATGTTTAGGGATCGAATTCCGCAGAATCCCACTCTGTGGCTTTATACAATTAAAGACTTTTGTTACCAACATTTATACATACAGTAGTCGACAAAAAGATAGGGACAAACGCAAGCAAAATGAAAATCACCTATTTTTTTCGGTTAAAAATCGATCTTAGAAAAAATTTTTTGATTGATTAAATACTAGATTTAATGCTCTATTTAATGAGTAGAAAATTTGCCTGTTTAATTTTTTATAAAATTCAACCCTTATTGAAAAACTAAAGGTATGCTATTTTAAGCGCGACAAAAAGATAGGGACAAGTCTTGTAACTAAGTTCTCATAGAAGCGAAAAATCTACAAAATTTATTGTAAGCATATTGATCGATAATAAGAAGAAATAAAAGAGAACTGGGTCCATATCTCATTTCGTTGTCGAGATCTAGATACCCCAAAAATCAACGTAAAATAGGGTTTTTCGACTTCAAAATTTTTTTCGGACCCCTTATTGATTGTTTTAAATTTTCATTTTAGGCTTATTCGATAGTTCTTTAATTGTGCTATAAACGTGACAAATTTCATTTTTCAAAAAAATTTCACTCCCGAGATAAAGGACGACGATTCTTCAAAACGCCATTTTTGTGGGAATTTATGGGGTGTTTGTTGCTTTTTGTAACATTCGCCTCTGCAACTAACGAAGTATTTTTTTCTGAAAAATGAAATTTGGCTAGTTTATAGCAAATTTCAAGAGCTATCGAATAGGCTCAAAATAAAAATTTTAAAAAATCCATAAGGGGTCGAAAATATTTTTTGAAGTTGCTTACCCCTGTTTTACGTTGATTTTTGGGGTATCGAGATCTCGACATTGAAATGATCTACGGGCCTAGTTCCTTTTTATTTTATCTTAGTATCGATCATTATGTTTGCACGAATTTTTGTAAATTTATTGGTTGGGTGACTACTTAGTTACAAGACTTGTCCCTATCTTTTTGTCGGGCTAAAATTTGCAGTACTTTTTTATTTAAATTATTTCAGTATATCAAAAAATAATAATCCGCCAGATCTTATACTTATTAAATAGAGCATTAAATGGCGTATTTAATCAAACAAAAAATTTTTCCTGAAATCGATTTTTAGCTGAGAAAATAGGTGATTTTCATTTTACATGCGTTTGTCCCTATCTTTTTGTCGACTACTGTATAAACTTTAACAGCTTTACACATTTATGTTAATTTTAATTCCTTTAAAATATTTTTATATTCTATTTCCTTTTCATTAATAACTTTTTTTAAAATTTCATTTATTTTATCTTCTTCTTCAAAAAAATCTTCATTATATTCCCATTCTGATTTATTATTACAATAAAGCTTGTCGTCATAAAAATTTAGTTCTGCCTTAAATGGATATTTCCAATGATATAATCTATCTTCTTTATTATCTAAGGTACTGAAAAAGGAAATATATATTGATATGTTTATTGTACCTACCAGGGTTGCCGTGGGTACAATTAATCTTTGGTTACGGGTTTCGGACGGCAACCCTTGTACCTACATACATAAATAATATTTAGAGTTAAGTTCATCAAGAATACAGGAAATTGTTCTCATTTGGGGGGTCAGAGTTGGGCCGGTCTGGTCTTTCGATTTCCGATATTTGTTGACCAACTCTGATTTAGGAATGACTTTCTAAGCTAGAAATAACAATGTACTAGAAGTATCTCCGATAAGCTATGTGAAATAAAAATTTAATCGCTCCGTTCGACAACTTTTTTCAAATCTCTATGGTATTTTACTTATTTTATCGTATTTCCAATTAAAATTTTATATTTATTATTTAATTATTACGAGGCTTTCCATCCATGAAACATAAAATCTTTTGTTGAAAACTTTGTATCAGTTAGTGTACCATCCCTTGCCCATCCTGCAGCTTTAGGGAAAACTCTAACTTTTCCTTGATCAAATGTTTGATTTACCATTTGTTTATTAATAAAATAACGAGCACACGCTAAGAACCTCCAAAGACCGTCCCAATCTCTTTAAATATATTTTTATTTATTTATACTTTATTTAATTTTTAATTTTTTTGGTTAAATTGTATTCAAATATGTATTTAAAATCCGTCATATATTAAAAATAAATTAAAGTACTTAGATATTTCCCACAAATGTTGACAATTATTTCTGTGTTGTTGTGCTAAAAATTTTTCCATGAAAAGTCCCTAAACTTAAAAATAGTTAAAGATATTCTAAATAATTTATTTACATGTATAGCTCCATTATCCGTTCCGTGAAAGCTTTTCGGTACTTTGTAAAAATAATCGGCCCAATCTCTAAGAAAATTTCGACCATAAATTGTGTTTCTATAAATATTATAATTAATTGGTACTTTCTCGCATCCGTAGAGGATAATCCAGATCAGTTATGGTTTAAACTTTAAAGTAAATATCTAGGACTTGTGCGTGGCATCGAGGGATCAAAAATATATCATTCGATTTGAAGGGATATAAGGGGATTCTAAGCGATTAATCTGAATATCAGTGGATTAAGATGGATATCGAGAGATTTAGAGGGAGTAAGAGATTTATTGTGGATGTAGGGATTCAAGGGATTTTGGGGGATTATGAAGGATATAAAGGGACTTTTGGTGATTATGAGGGATATCAATCTTATAACTCTGATCTCGACTCTCGTTTTTTTTAACTCCCGAACATCACTACTGTATACGACAAAAAGCAGGAAATTCAGAGAAAATTTCTAGGAAATCTTACAACTCTAATATAATATATTACTCACTTAACTAAATAACTTCCAGCCATTATTTCATGATTATATATTCTATCATAAAAGATAATTTGTTCTCCATTAATATATTCAAATAAAGAATGATTTGGATTAACAACAGCCATATCCCCATCAATAAATAATATCCATTCAAATTCAGAATGTTTAGACATCCACTCGACAACTACACAATGGCGACGAAACATGAACTAAAATTCTAAGAATTTTGGGTAATACTATCTGACAAAGCCTATCCGACAATCCCTGATATCCTTGTAATCCCTTCAAATCCCCAATCCTTCAACATCAAAACCATTTAATCTCACCTTATTCTCATTAATTTTTGAATAAATTAACGAAAATAGACCGAAAACGGCTTATTTTTAGAGCATTTTTTCTTTAAAAAATTTTTCCATTATACCACCGTTCCCCGACCCCGCCCCGAAACAATTCGAAAACCCCGTACCCCGACACACCCGCCCCCGAGCGTTCGGGGTGCAACCCTAGATAATAATTACCTAGGCTAATTAATTAGTACATACGGTAACATTGAGTTATTAAAAACATTTTATTAAAATTTTTTCAGTATTATTTTTTATTTTAAAATTGGGAAAGTTAAAAAATCTTTTATTAAATCCTCACATCGTCTTGTTTGCATTTGTTGTTTTTATTTACTGTCTGTATATTATTTTCTGTTATATTAGGTGAAATTAAAACAAAATGAGAACATTCTTGAGAGCGTTGAGCATAACAACGAACTGTACTTAATGCCAAACCATATTCATTTAAACGATCAGATTTGTCGATTACAGTTATAATTGCAATTTTGGGTTTGTTTATTTTTCTCTTATTATTGTTGTCAGAAAACTCACTAAAATAGTTTTAAAATTTTCATGGGGGAAAATCTCATAGGGTTTTAGGTTTCGGGCCTCTGTGACTAGGTAAAGATGCTTGTAAAGGATTTTAAAGGATTAAGATTTATAGCGGAGGATTTGTGGGGCTTAAAAGTGCTATTAGATATTAAAAGATACTAGGGTATCTGTAAAGAAGTGGAATAAGAAGAAGGATTCACGATATCCCCTCAAAGTCTCTTAATCCCAAGAATTTTCGATACCTAATATTTTCATGATATTTTCACATTGCAGTTTACTTTGGCTATAGGGGACATAAGCTTTTCCTGGTCTACTACTGGTCAAATAATTAAATTATTCAACAAAATTGAGTTTTAAGATTTTTTAATTAATATAAAAATTACTTTAAAGATGTTGAAGGAATAAACTGATCGGAATTAAAAATACTAATATAAAAAAATATAGCTAATATAGAAATAATTAATATTAAAGCCAATGAATTTGGTGTTTTTAACATTCTATCTTAAAAGTTTTATTAAATTATAGTCGATAACTAATTGAGATTTGTCTATAAATTTAATTTAAAATCCCTCCTATTGTATATATTTATTATCCTCGATTTAGAGATATAGTAATTTATTAATTAATATAGTACCGTATTTGTAAATAAAGCCCTATGCGGCTATATTTTTTCTCAAAATTTTCGTAATATGGATTCAAGCCCTTCCAGAATTCTTAACATTTTCGACTGCAGATAATTTCTGGTTCTAAGATAAGTCTGTCATGAATCTAGGTATTCCAGGGATATTTATCATTTTAATGGCGATTAATAGAGATTGAAAAATAGGTAAATATTTTTTAATTTCTATTTTATTTCGCCTCAATTCGAAAAACAAAAATCACAAAAACTTCAAAATAGGTTGCAACCTATTTTAAGTTGCAAAAACCTAAAATAGGGTTGAATAGGTGATAATAGGTGATATTCGAAAAATAACAACGGATTTGAGTTCAATTTATCATAACTATTTTGCAGAAAAAATAGGTTATAATCTAAAAATTCGGGCCTATACATAATTATAAAAATTATTTAAAATGATTTTACAATAAATAAACTTGAAGGTGTAAATATTAAAAACTAAATAAATGTTAACATCTAAAATTTAGCAAACAATAAGCCACGTCTTGTAAGGTGTTTTTTTGTTTAATTCGTGGCTTTTATTTAACATCCTCCTTTTTATTTACGGAAATAAACTCGAATGAATACCCATCAATCGTCATTATATCAACAGTGAAAGTAATGCTGTCAGCTAATTATAAAAACTTTTGACAAACATTTAAGACAAAAATTAAATTGAGTATAAATAATTCTGTACGTCGAATAAATTTTTTAATAAAAAACAATTTTTGTAATGATTTTTGTAGCAATTAACTCATTTAGACCAAGGCAACTAATATGTATGTAGAGTTTCACACCGAACCCGTATAGACGAAACCACCTTTACACACCTATACCATTGTGCTACATTTGTGGTATTTGATAAGACTTAAGTTCGGGATACCTTTGTCCTTAACAGGCTTTGAGGGTTAATCAGGTCCTTAGGCTTACCGAGGCAAAGATTTTACCGCAAAGATTTTACCGCAAAGATTTTACCGCTATGTTGCTAAGCGCCTTTATTTTACCTTTATTTGAATAATATTACATTATGATTAGAGACCGGATTTTTATGCATTAAAAAATGCAAAATATGCATTATATGTAATATGCATAAAAAATTGCTCAAATATGCACGAAAATATGTAAGAAACCCAAAATATCCACACAAATATCAAGAAAAATACAATTTAAACCTACAAATTTTAACTTTTTTAAGTCAAAAAATTCAAACGCCTATTTTTATTAAGATTACTCTCAATTTAAATGTATAGTTCGACAAATTGAGTATTTTTACGCTGCTCGACCTTTTGAGATGAGAAATTTTGGTGGTAAATTTTCTTCTCCCGAACATCACTAATATACATCATGACAAGTTTGCAAAAAAATATGCATTTGCATAAAAATCCGGTCTCTAATTATGATTAATATAAGCGATTCCTTATTTAAATTAATTTTTAAATTGCCTTTCTCGTCTTTTCACATAAGAATGTTTAATTTTTGCCATGATAACAAAAAAAATTTATCAAAATATATTTATGTTAGTTTTAAGTTTTGTACAGTTTTATCATATTCTACTTTAATTCCATTAATAATTCTTTTTAATGTTTCATCTATTTTATCTTCTTGTTCAACAAAATCTTCATTATATCCCCATTCTGATTCGTTACAATAAAACTTGTCGTCATAAAAATTTTGTTCGGCTTTAAATGGATATTTCCAAGGATTTAATTCTCCGTTTCTGTGCAGGCTACTGAAAAAAATAAAATAAATATACTGTAAGTTCATTTATTAAAAAATAGAAATTTCTTTTAACGAATTTTACTTCATTTTGTTAAATTGGGAGGTGGGCCTATCATTTTTAATTTTATATTTACTATATAATATCTAATTATTACGAGGCTTTCCATCCATGAAAAATAAAATCTTTTGTTGAAAATTTTGTGCCAGTATGTCCGCCATCCCTTGCCCATCCTGCAGCTTTAGGGAAAACTTTAACCTTCCCTTCATCAAAAGTTCGATTAACCATTTGTTTTTCAAGAAAATGACGAACACACACTGTGAATGTGTTTAGATCCCCAAAATTTCTTTAAAAATATTTTTAATTAATTATTCGAAATTAAAGTACTTCGAAATTTCCCACAAATGTTGACATTTATTTCTGTCTTCTTGTGAAGAAAATTTTTCCATAAAAAGTCCCTAAAAATTTTATAGTATTTACATATTTAAAAATTTATTTACATGTATAGCTCCATTGTCCGTTCCGTGAAAACTTTTTGGTAATTTGTAAAAATAATTGGCCCAAGTATTAAGAAAATTTCGACCATAAATTGTGTTTCTGTAAATATTGAAATTAGTTGGTATTTTCTCTGAGAGTTGTAGGTCTTCGTTTATAGAGGAAGAAGATCCAATGGATTTTTTTCTGCTCAGGTTACCCAGGTACGATCGAATCAGTTAGACTTAGATAGTTAGACTTCAAGGGATCGCCGAATGTCGCGACATTTAATGTCAATTTCGCTTTGTGGAATAGGCCCAAGTTTGTAGGCATTTATCAGATTTGCCCGAGTCAGACAGGCAAGGCAGGTAACTTACTGAACATCTAATTGTCAGTTACATCAACTACCACACACCGTGGAGGGCGGTTAAGAAGCTTCGGATAGAATTCATAGGTAATCTAACAACCCTCATATATTAAAGATTAACGTACTTCACTAAATAACTGCCTGCCATTATTTCATTATTGAATATTCTATCATAAAAGATAATTTGTTCTCCATTAATATATTCAAATAAAGAATGATTTGGATTAACAACAGCCATATCCCCATCAATAAATAATATCCACTCAAATTCAGAATGTTGAGACATCCACTCGACAACTACACAATGGCGACGAAACATGAACTAAAATTTTTTTGAATAGAAGGCGGACATTATAAATCCGTTTTAACTAATTGTCTTCGAACGATAATCATCAAATTTTTAATAATTAACCCTCCCGCGAAAGTTTGAAATAATTAATAATTATCTAGGCTAATTAATTGAGTAAACACGTTAATAATACATAGATTGAGTAAAAAATTTTTATTAAAAATTTGTTCTCATAATTAATTTTTATATTGGGAACTTGAAAAAATCTTTTAGTAAATCCTCACGTCGTTTTGTCTACATTTGTTTTTATTCACCGTTAAAGAATTATTTACATTATTTTCGGGTATATTAGGTGAAATTAAAACAAAATGAGAACATTCTTGAGAGCGTTGAGCATAACAACGAACTGTACTTAATGCCAAACCAAATTCATTTAAAAGATCAGATTTATCGAATACAGTTATAATCGCAATTTTGGGTTTGTTTATCATTTTATTGTTGTTAACAGAGAAATGACTGAAATTTAGTTAAAATAATTCTCAAAAAGGGATAGAATCCCATATATGAGACTAATCACCAAAGCATAGACCAAGACCAAAGTGAACTTAAAATCTAGTTGATATTTTAGAGAGTAAATGTTTTTGCAAATATGTCGATGAGACATGATTACCCTTATTTAAATTCAATTATTCTATCATATCTCTTTCTTAATTTTCGAGTAAATTTAATTGTAAAATCTATGTTTGAACCAGTCACGACCTTATGTTTGATAATTATATCAATAAGAGAATGAGCTTTCGCAAGAATGGTATGAGTGTTAGTGTTTCGCCGGAAGTTCAGGTTCTGGAAAACAAAGGAGAAGTGTGCCCGCCCCATTTTTGTATAGCTCTTGTTCCAGATTCGGACATTTTTCATAATTTTAAGAATTACTTTAAACGTATTGCTGGCGAAATAAGTTGATCCGGATTAAAAACAATAAAATAAAAAAATAAAGCTAAAATAAAAAGCATAAATATTGAAGTCAAAGAACTTTTTTTTAGTAAATATGAATTTTTATTGTATGATGTTTTTAACATTTTGTCTTAAAAATTTATTAATGAAGTACGTTACTATGTTTTATTAACATAATAATTAAAAGCTGGAAAACTAAATGGAAGAATGAGTCCCAACGGTGGGAAGGGGGGGGGGGAGACGAGGGCCAAAGGCCTGAAGTGAACCTAAGTGGAAAAAGGTTTGGCTCTTAGGACATGTGTCCCATGAACTTTTATGCGTCACATTAAAGTATAGGCGTCCCATCAACAAAAAATTGGATTTTTCTTGGTGTTGCAAAGTTGAAGTATGGTTCCAAAGCATTTTTCATGTTCGGAACATAAGCCCAATGGGTCTGGGACCATTCCTTACCCTATCCCTCGAAATTTCTGAAAGTTAAAATCGTTTTTCCGAAATTTTTAAAAATGGGCTATAACTTTCAGAAATTTCGAGGAATAGGTTAAGGAACGGTTCCAGACCCAATGGGCGTAGGAAAGATATATGGATTAAAGCCTTCCAGAATTAATATTTTCGCCTGCGGACATATAATCGTTCTAAGATAAGTCTGTCACGAATCTAGGTATTCCGGGCATATTTATAATTTTAATGGAGATTAAAATATTAATAGAGGTTAAAAATAAGGAAAATATTTTTTTATATCTATTTTATTTCGTTTAAATTAAAAAAATTTTTTATTTCGCCAATCTCCCTTCTTTTATGCTCAAATATTTAAAATATATTTATGCTGCTCAAGAGTGATTGTTGCTTTCTATACTGTTTATCAGAATGGATTTACAATAATTGTAAAAATTATTTAAAATGATTTTAAAATAAATAAAACTTCGAGGTGTAAATATAAAAAACTAAATAAATGTTAACATTTAAAATTTAGCCAACAGTAAGCCACGTTTTGTAAGTTGTTTTTTTGTTTAATTCGTGGCTTTTATTCAATAACATCCTTTATTTACAGAAAGAAACCACAATTAATGCCCCCATCAAACCACATTATATCAGCAAGGAAAGCAAAGCTATCAACTGTAATTATAAAAACTTTTGACAAAAATTTAAGACAAAAATAAAATTAATTATAAATAAAATAATTATTTAATAAAAAACAATTTTTGTAATGAAAATAGGAAGAGTTCAAGGCAAAAATATGTACATATCTAGAGTTTCACACCGATCCCTTACTTAACGGATTATATCCCTATTTATGAAGCAGTCGTTCCCTTAAATGAGCTAGTGTTATATTAAAAAGTGAATTGAAAAATTAAGAATCACCTTCTAATAAAGCTAATATTGTCGTTGTCGAAATTGAAGATTTAAAGATTTTAAATATTTTTTGATATTTTTGTGGAATTTTTTTTATTTTTTTTTTCATTTTTCACTTTTGTTGCATTATTTTTATTGATATTTCTGCCTATAATAGGCAGAATTTCACTTTTTTTCAATGTTCTTTGTGAATATTCATTTTCCTATCACTGTGTGATATTTTTGAGAGGGTATCATGGTGTAAAAATGTCGCAAAAGTCACGGAACCAGAAGGAAAAGACAAAAAGTGCAGACAGCCATTTGCGGACATATAGATATATAAATTATTTTACAAATATATGGCCGAAACCACCTTTACCCATACCAGAGAACGAACCATCCCGAGTTACGATTTTTTAAAAATCAGGAAAGAAATGATCAAATTAACTTGCCTAAAGGCTACTAAATTTGATTGATTTATAAAATTTTGAAAATAAATTTAATTCACAAGCAATATGTAAATCATTATAGTAGAAAAACAGCACGACAATTGAAGCCATGTCCTAACAGCTGAAGCTTTGAGGGTTAATCAGGTCCTCAGGCTTGCCGAGGCATAGATGTACCGCTATGTTATGATTAGAGCCCGGATTTTTATGCAAATGCATATTTTTTTTGCAAACTTTTCATGATGTGTTATGCACAAAAAACACTGTTTCCGCAAGTTTTGAAAACTTTAGAGGGGGTTTCTATTTGCATATAATGCATATTTTTGCATATTCCGGACTTTGTTGCATAATGCATATTTTACTGCATATTTTGAGGTTTTTGGGGAAAATATTGCGAAAATTGCCTAAAATCCTGCCAAAAAGTGAAAATTTAGTGAAAATTTAGGAAAAAATTTGTAAAAATTACAAATTTTGCAAAAAAATTTTTGTGTTTATTGGTTTCGCCAGAAAATGGCCCACCCCCACAATGTCTCAGCCCCAAAACGTCGCACCCCAAAATGTCCCACCACCAAAATGCCTCATCTCAAAATGCCCAACACCGTAAAAATGCTCAATTTGTCGAACTATACATTTAAAATAGGAGAAATCTTAATAAAAAATGTATTTTAAATCATTTTGACTAAAAATATGTAAAATTTTTAGGTATAAATGGTATTTTTCATGCATATATGTGTGTATATTTTGGTTTACTTGCATATTTTTGTGCATATTTTGGCAATTTTTTATGCATATTATAGTGCATATTTTGCATTTTTTAATGCATAAAAATCCGGGCTCTAGTTATGATTAATATAAGTGTTTGGCCTAACTCTACTTTTTAATTGGAAGAAGGGAAATCGTTATTTTATTAAATTGTGTCTTTTATTTTTGATTAAAATTCTATGTTTATTATTTCCTCGAACACAGCCAGGCTACTAAAATGAAATCTCGTGTTATCTTTGTATTGTAGCAATTATTTCTCATTTAAATTAATTTTTTAAATTGTCTTTCCCAACTTGCATTTTATATTCTCATTTTAAAAATATATATGTACATATTTATGTTAGTTTTAAGTTTTGTACAGTTTTATTATATTCTACTTTAATTCCATTAATAATTCTTTTTAATATTTCATCTATTTTATCTTCTTCTTCAACAAAATCTTCATTATATCCCCATTCTGATTCGTTACAATAAAACTTGTCGTCATAAAAATTTTGTTCGGCTTTAAATGGATATTTCCAAGGATTTAATTCTCCGTTTCTGTGCAGGCTACTGAAAAAAATAAAATAAATATACTGTAATCATCATATTTCACAACTTTAATTAAAAAATAGAAATTTCTTTTAACGAATTTTACTTCATTTTGTTAAATTGGGAGGTGGGCCTATCATTTTTAATTTTATATTTACTATATAATATCTAATTATTACGAGGCTTTCCATCCATGAAACATAAAATCTTTTGTTGAAAATTTAGTCCCAGTATGTCCGCCATCCCTTACCCATCCTGCAGCTTTGGGTAAAACTCTAACTTTTCCTTCATCAAAAGTTCGATTAACCATTTGTTTTTCAAGAAAATGACGAACACACACTGTGAATGTGTTTAGATCCCCAAAATTTCTTTAAAAATATTTTTAATTAATTATTCGAAATTAATATAAAGTACTTAGATGTTTCCCACAGATGTTGACATTTATTTCGGTCTTCTTGTGAAGAAAATTTTTCCATAAAAAGTCCCTAAAAATTTAAAGGTATTTACATATTTAAAAATTTATTTACATGTATAGCTCCATTGTCAGTTCCGTGAAAGCTTTTTGGTAATTTGTAAAAATAATTGACCCAAGTATTAAGAAAATTTCGACCATAAATTGTGTTTCTGTAAATGTTAATTGGTACTTTCTCTGAGGGTTAAAGGTCTCCGTCAATAGAGTAAGAAGATCCTTGTCATTTCTTGGCTTCTGCTAGGTTACCCAGGTCCGATGGAATCATTTAGACTGCCACACACCGTGTAGGGCGGTCAAACTCTGTATACGTCCAAAAAGTAGAAACTTCGGATAGAATTTCTAGCCAATCTAATAACCCTGATATATTAAAGATTAACGTACTTCACTAAATAACTGCCTGCCATTATTTCATGATTGAATATTCTATCAATAAAAATAATTTGTTCTCCATTAATATATTCAAATAAAGAATGATTTGGATTAACAACAGCCATATCCCCATCAATAAATAATATCCACTCAAATTCAGAATGTTGAGA